TTATCATCTGATGTTCAATTAGTAGTAAAGCCATGAAATAGAATTAGGTTAAAATGTCTTTTCCTCCACAGTAATGAATCATTGTGTTTTTAGCTCTCCTCCTCCCACTTGTGTAAGGCCTCTGCACTACAATCCAGACATAAACAAAACGCTTGTTTGACTAATAAACGTTTAATGTTGTTTTCTGAAGCAGCTGATAAAACAGTCCCGGAGTTATGACATCATATCCGTGGGACAGTGAGAGTTTTGGGGAAAGCACCTGGGTGACAAGGCTGTAGAGGCAACAGAGAGAGAGACAGAGAGAGAGAGACAGAAAGAGAGAGAGAGACAGACAGACCAACACTTAGAAGCATTCTAAATACTTGAAACCTGTTCTTTTGTTGTGTTGTCATCTCGAAAAGTTTCTAGTCTTTTAAAATGTAAAGAATAGGAAGAACAGGTATTGCAATTTAAAAGTAAAAAAGTAATAAAAATGTGTAGTAAAGGAAGGAGATACCAGGAAATTAACATTAGCTTCTGGCTATTAGCTAAAGCAGCTTCCTGACACTAGTCAAGTGTATGGACTTTTATGAATGTTTTGTAAATAAAGAACATTTAATAGAATGTACACATTTGAACCGTGCACAAAATAACGCTGGTCAAAAAATGTCAGTCAAAAAAAAAAAATCAAGATTCATTTTGAATCAAATTAGATTTATTGTCATGGTATAAAGATTTTATTAGCAAGTGACGTAAATGATGGCCTTCTTTGATTCCACTAGAATTGTGTTTGCGAGAGTGATTAATGTGATGAACACTTTATTTTTCCCGTGAGGAACTTTGTCCTCTGCAATTGACCCATCCTGCGATGCCACTAGATCCTCTTTCAGGAGCAGATGTTTGGTGCAGCACCCAGGAACCCACCTCCAGATGTTGATGCTCGACTTGGTCAGGACTATCAGAGCAATTTTAACCTATTGCTGCATGGTTTTAGTGGTAGAGGGAACCGGAGCACCTAGAGGAAACCTACACAGACATGGGGAGAACATGCAAAATCGTCTCAGAAAGATCTTGTTCCCGACCGGGATTCAAACCCAGGATGTTCTTGCTGAGAAGCTAGAGTGCTAACCACTCAGCCACTGTGCAATGGTGCAGCCCTAATACCAAATTCCTGCAGGTCTGTATTCAAATCCCTCGCTGTGCCACACACATGTTAAGTCTTTCGTGGTGCTTGCCAAATTATGCACCAATTTTTTTTTTCTGCTCTCCTCGTATTTATTGGCTTTCCAGTCTAAACAAACCGAAGAAAACGCACCCAAATGGTTAGCTTGCTACGTCCCCATCAGCAGCAGCAGTGGGCAAGCGTTGTGACAGCACAGATCTTCTACAATACCAGCGCCTAAACCCTCAAAGTGGCAAAGACCAACCAACTCCGACATGTTTGGCAGGAAGTGAGGTGGTCCCGGTCCGAGGGGTAAGTCCGCGGGGCTTAGGGCGCAAATAGGCCTCATTGTGTCCTATTGTAGAGAGAGGGATTTGGTGCCACAAACTGACCAGTCTGCTGGAAGGTGATGGGACTGGAAGGTCTGCAAGAGCAAGGTCAAAATAACCACACTCACCAGGAGATCCAGTGGTAAAAAACTTGACCAGTGGATTAAGGCGGCTGTAAAAAAAAAAAAAAAAAAGTATTATTTAAAGGGTCTATTTATTTGAACTTTAGGAATTAGATTTTCAAAAATTAGGAAAAAAAAAACAAAAAAGTTATCCTCAAATTACAGTGGCGCAGTTTTGAGCACATGTGTTTCATTGCTAGAGGGGTCCAGGGTTTTATTCCACCTCCTGACATGGCCGTTCTGTGAGTTTGCATGTTCTCCCTGTGCCTGCATAAGTTTCCTCTGGTTGCTCCGGTTTCTCCCTACCTTCTTCCTACCACTGAAAAACATGTACAAAACCGCCCCGTAACACCCTCCCGACTCCACCCTGCCCCCTCTACCTGGGGCCAGGACTCCCCCGGAAAAAAGATTATTAAATCTCTTAAATATAGGCCAATACATACAATTTTACAGCTATTTTGACAATGTAATGGTCCAAATAGGAGTGGAAGGAAGTAAAAACCTCCCATTTATTAAACTTGTGTGTGGTTTTCTAATTTCTACTTGACAATGAATGATCTTAATATTTATTCCAGACACAAAAATAAATTACAATAAAATGAAGTATTCTACATGTAACACTGCATGGGACCAAACAAGCATGACATAATTTTAAAGCTACAGCTGCAGCCCTTGTTAACACATTTTGACAGCAGGGAAGGGCACAAAAACATTTCACACGTTTGACCCTTAGACTGAAAATTGCGTGGATATTTGACTATTATTTTGGTTGCAGGTGGGGGCAATGGAAAGGCCAGACAATGAGAGGCTATAGTTACAATGGAAGGTGTACATGAAAAATCCAGGTTTTGGCTAAAAAGCTAAGTCAGTTTTGAAGGCGTGAGAGAAAGTGTACGGTGCATAGTTTCCCCGGGTGAAAACAGGTGTGACTCAGACAGACAGCCCTCTCATTACCGCTCTGCCCCTGTGCCCGGAGCAACACAAGCAATTCCAGACACAACGCATTGAAGCAACGTTTAAGCCACCACCCGACTTTGTCACTAAAATGGTAACAAGACCGGGTCAGGAGGAGGTCATGGTAGTGTGCTTAGTCACCACAGAAGAATATGCATAATATTATTTGTATATTTAGATAACAACCAATCCAGGATGAAACTAAAGAAACATTTGCACTATAAAAAATCAGAAAATCACAATATTGTTCAAAAGTTCATTTACTCCTGTAATTCAACTTACAATGTGAAACCAACATATGGTATAGACTCATTACACAAAAGTGACAAAATATGCCTAGTCTATGTTTGTTACAATGATGATTATTGCTCACAGAGTATTATAATTTTCTGAAATTGTGTGTTTTTTTTTTTTGAAAGTTGTGAACCTATTAACAACATTGAAACTAATAAATTATACATCTCAGTTATTCTTGTAATCTAGATATTTTAGTTTTGAATTGTACATTGAATTACAGAAGTAAATACAATATACTAATTTTCTGAGTTTGACCTGTTTACTCTTTGCATGGATTGCACCTTCCTGTTACTGTGGATGTACGTATCTACACCTAAACCCAGATTTTTAAGCCCAAAATGGTGATGGTAACACGAACGGCTACTTTTCAATGTAAGTCAATAGCAGCCAGTGAGCGAGTTGGAACAAAACTGCGTCCATGAGCACTTCCCTATTGGGTTTCATTGAGCCAGGCGGTTACCATTGTCCATCTATGTCTACATCCATGTCTATATACAATAAACATTACTTATTTACTTACTTGCATATTTTAACTTACCATGGCAACTTGAGGCAAGCATTTTTTCTCTCATTGATTCAGTGACTTTTCAAAACAAATTCTAGCTTGTTTCTGGTTTAAATTGTTCATAAACTTCTGTTAATTGGATTTATTTTAAAACTTGTACCGTTGCGTGCCATTTTTCAATTACATTAAAGAAGGCATTTACATTTTGTGCTACCTCTGGTGTTTGTGGGGGGTCTCTGCATAGTTTGGAGGATTTTCTATCTCAGCTTGGTTGCTTCCAGGTATCTAGGCTGAAACATGTATTTCCAGTCTATAAAACACTCTAATAAAAGTCCTGTAGATGTAAAGTGTCCATCTGCAGCAGCTTTACATGAAACTTTTATCTTTACTCTAACTTATGACTTCTGGTAATGGATTCACAGCGTAAAAGTGACCACAAAACAATAACAATTGGCAACTGATGGCTGCTTTAGTGTGGACCTAAATATGGAACTAAGTGCTAGAGTTTCAGCTTTTGTTTGTAATGTACAAGGTGTCGACGTTAAAGCTGGGGTACCTAACTCTCAAACGAACACCGGATTAATTTTTTTTTACACAATTACAATAATATTAATCTGGCTAGTTTGTTGCTCTCAAACTAGTTAGCGATAGTTTGGTTCTATCAATAGATTTCACATGCATGTATTTCTGTCTGTCACATATTTAAATCAGTTTTATCAGACAGAAACGTGTAACGGCCAATCAGCTCTCTGCTCAAAGTGTCAAATTCTTTTTTTACATGTATGCAAAAGATAACATGTGTTCTAGATGAATAAGTTTGTTTTCCCAAGACTCGTTCTGTTGGGACCATCAAAATTAGTTATGTATGACACAAAACGCCAGGTACTTTAAAACACCTAAAAAATTTGATTTCATTCCAAACCCTTGATTTTACTTTGCTTCCATCTAGTGGAGGACAGGGACACATTCGAAAAACCAATAAAAAAGATTACTGAAGGAGGTGTCCATAAATAGGTATACACCCCTATGGCGCTGGAGCACAAATTAAATAATGTGAATAGTGTGTTCATGTTTTATAACCAAAATATTTTAAATGAACAGGGAAGAAAACAGGATCAGTCTGAATCATTCATTTATGAAACCACTGCATTTTCCCCACACAGATGATAGATTACCACTGTTTACTATGTGGAGTGTATGTGGTGATAAAACAAGGCAAATGTATACGCAATCTAGTTTACATACACAAACCTGTGTGGTTCAGAAAGGAAATAACTATAACTTTTAATGGTCCGAAACATGTAAAACTGTCTCACTGTTAATATTTGAAAAGCTTGAAAAGGCGCGTGTTGCAGAGGACCACCCTCACAGCTCAACAAGTCTAAACTAGCTAAGAGAACAAAACAACACTTCCGCCTGCACTGCTTTCCATACTTCAAAACAAAAGGAAATGGTTTCAAGTTGTAAAAATACCCCATTCATCTCATTATTTATATTACAAGGTAATTTTAGACTGTTATTCACAGATGGATGTGATAAAACACATGGACTTCATCTGGAAAAAGACCAAACAGAGAATAAAATTAACACATATTCAGGCTACACCATGTGATGATTTTCTAAACATCATTTTGACCTTAGTCTGAACAAAGATGTGTCTCACTTTAATTCCGTCAGTCTGCATATTGTTTTCTTATTTCTACTTATTCTTATCATTGACCACATTGTTCTGTCTGTAGGGTCAACCCGGGCCGTTGGGAGATGCCGGGCCAGTGGACCAGAGGGGCCTCGGGGTGGGACCGGACACCCAGGACCTAAAGGAGAGAGGGGCCACATCGGACTGAAGGGGCCGTCCGGGCCCAACGGAGACAAAGTCAGTGCCGGCTGTTTAAATAATTGATACATGAATTGTATTGTGAGTATGTACTGTGTAAGGCACCATGCCGGGCCTGGCTTAAGCTAGCAATGCCCTTTCCAGATAATATAATACATCTAAGGCAGCCATTCCAAAAGTCAGTAACACTGCGGCCCCCTTAAAAATCTGACGGGTCTGCGCGGCCCCCCAATATACTAACCAAGAAGACGACGTTAAAAATAGGCTCTTCTCGTTATTTTTTGGGGGGAAATAGCCTCTGCCACAAACATGTAAATGACGCACCCCATTTTGTAATACAAAATGATTTCAATCTAATTATTCAAATTAAATAAATAAATAATAAATAATAATAATAATGACCTCTCGCGGCCCCCCCTGCAATACCCTCGCTGTGACCCCACTATGGCGACACTGATATAAGGAATAAACCCAAACAAAGTTGATTATGAATATAAAACATGGTCATTTATTGCAGTATTAAATTACATTCAGTCACCGTTCAGACATGTTTATTCATTATATTGCCAAACTGTGCCACTGGCCCGTCAGACTAGTGGTGACCCGTCTTGCTGAAGCTGAAAACAACAGGTTACAGAACTTGGTCAAGCAGGTTCATCTGGCTGGTTTATCTTATTGTACCTTTTTTAGAAAATATAAATAGTACATATAAAAAAAGTATAAAAACATTTCATATGTACTGAATTATTATGTGATTCACCATCCATCCATCCATCCATTTTCTTCCCCTTAATCCATTTCTGAGTCGGGGGGGTGGCAGTCAAGCTGCACCCAGTACACAGAGCACCAGCCCCTCACTGATCCTCCTGCAGGTGGTGAGTCCACAGGAGCTATGTGATTCAACAGTCTGTGGAAATATCACCCTTGTTGCTATTCCATATTTTTGCCACAAGATGGTGACAAACTGCCGTGTTGCAATATCGGCTTTTGGCCACAAGATGGTGACATTCAACATAATTAAATCATAATGATTTGAACAGAGTGGTAACCTTGATAATTTTTAAATGTTTGATCCCTAAAAACGGATAATCACTGCTTGTTTATATTATGAATAATTAAAAAAATGTTTTACCTTAAATTGTATGCATGCTTATTTGTAGGACCTTGTTTGTCCTGTAAGTGGCTGTAATATGTGTAGTAAGTGACCGTGACTGTCATGCTCTGTGTGATTTCCCCAGGGGCCCATGGGCGTCCCCGGCTTCTCAGGAACCGATGGCGTACCCGTGAGTAACCTGTACTTTAGCACCTATGGAGATTATTGTAGACATATTTAAAATTCTCTAAAGATAATAATAATCTTAAGTTGTAACTCTTTACTGTAGGGCCATACCGGAGCCGGCGGTCCCAGGGTCCTCCAGGTGTTGACGGCTGTAACGGGACACGGGGAGAGCCTGGAGACACAGGCTATGGGATCGGACCTCCTGGAACTCCTGGCCCCAGTGTAAGTCCAGCGTTTTAGTTTAGCTGCTTGACTACATATGTATTGAGTGTTATATAATGATAATATTGTTGAATTGAACAGGGAATTTATGGACCAAAAGGACAAAAGGGAGAGCCTATCTTCATCTCTGACACAGACAACACCATCGCGGTATGATCCTGGTTTCATGTTAAATGTTAATATCAGTGATCACGAAACAGGCAGTTAATAATAAATACTTGCATCATTGTTTTCCAGGGTTTGCCAGGTTTACCAGGAGTCAACGGCCCACCGGTGAAAAAATATACACAATTTTTCTGTTTGTAAAAAGAATGTACCAACTTTTTACCGCTAAGTATTATAGTTGTTTTTTCTTTAAAAAAAAATCCAGTTTGTATTTATTTTCCCAACAGAACATATTTTGTAGATATTGGAAATACATTTTTTTAGACGATATCCTGAGTTAGTCTTTCGATTAATGGAATATGACAATGACTAAGATAAGATTAGATCAACTTTAAATGAGAATGTTATAGTTTTACTCAAAGGATAATAGAATTGAAATAACACAATTGGACTCATTTGACTAATACATAGGATAGCTGTTCCAGTCCCTTTATTAGATAACTCTTTTAGTTGTTTTCCTGTGTTTTTTTCTCTTGTTTATAGTGTTTAGTTGTCTATTCTGTTCATATGTCAATGTTTCAAGTAACTTTTTGACTTTACAAAGTATTTCCTGTGCGACTTTATAAAGTATTTCCGGTCCATAGGGAGCCGGACAGATCACTGTCAGTGTTAATAAATGTCCTTAAATGTCCTGGAGCATCAAATGGCACATAAACTGAATCTGAGCATAATCATTGAATTCACTCAGATATGTTTTTTCAGGGATATCGAGGCCCTGACGGCAGACCTGGAGCGCCTGGACCTATTGGACCCACTGGATATGCCGTAAGATGCACGACATGTTTGAAAGCGCGATTGATAATTTTGTGTATTTTTCGTTTTAGTGACTCAGCTGTATGAGTAGTCAGCATGGTTCCTTTGCTGATCATGGTTGTGTCTACAGAGCTCCAGGATCAAGTGTTTTGTTGGTTTTCTGGTGAGAGGGTCCGACTGCAGAGAAAACCTTCCCAACAATTGATCCTGTCAAAACCTATATAGCACTGTGAGCGAAAGTAAAGAGCCCATGCTGACCACTCATACAGCTACTGAGCCATTATCAAATATGCAAAAATATTAACTTTTGCGTCGATAGATTATGTATTTGTCACGTACAATGTCATCCACACAGTCAATAACATGTAGTAAAATGCTATAATGACCCTCTATAGTTAGACTTACAATGATTTTGTTGTTTTTAGGGTCCTCCTGGTCCCCCCGGTCCGCCAGGCCCCATGGTGAGTACAGATACAGATAGATACTTTATTGATCCTGTCCGGTAGCAGCAAAAAGATACAATCCTTCAGCTCCGCTAAACAGAACTGTTTACAAGCTGGATTTGAAGTTAGAGTAGAAGCCTGTCTCACATTTTAGGAAGATTTTTGCTGCATGGATCTGAAGAATACTAGCAAAAACACAAAATATTCCATATAATCTTCGATACCTCTGTGGCTATTAAGAAATGCTCTTTTTCAACTATAAACATTTAACTGTAATTTTTAAGGCAAGGCAAGGCAAGTTTATTTGTATAGCACAATTCATACACAAGGCAATTCAAAGTGCTGAAAAAGGGCATCACCGTTTTATATGGGTTTAAGAGGTTTCAATATAGTTGAAAATGTGTAAAACTTTTCAAGAAATGTCAAATGTTTACATAAATGTCCTATAAATGTCTAAATAAAAATGATTTAAAGAAATAATTTTCATTTAGTTTGAACTTATTTGCAAAGAATGTGGGTCTAGTTGAGATACTAGTTTTAGTATTGAAAAATGCTGATGGTGCTGACTCCCAAGAAATAGACAAAAGATAGAACTCATACTACACTACGTCATATGTAATGTAATGATTGAAGTTTAGTGATGTTTGAAATTCAGGCTGAATTTTAACTCTATTTTTCTAATTTCAGGGAAGCCACGGTGAAGGCTATTGGGGAGAGAAAGGAGATAAGGTACACACTTATAATTGTATTCCATAAACATTAGATGTGTTTTGGGTCTTCTAATATGACGTCTGTTTTCTGGTCTTTAGGGCAATGTGGGGCCGCCTGGTCCAAGCGGTTCCACTCGCGACACGACTTTAGTCAGCGAACAAACTCTCACCATTTACAAAGGAGACAGAGTAAGCATGAATAACTACCAACAGCTTTTATCCTTATATTGTTTTCTGACACTATTTTAACTTTCCAAAGGGTGATCCAGGCTACAAAGGAGTGCGTGGATTTCCTGGAACACCTGGACAACCGGTGAGTTTTTTTGCAATATGATTAGATGCAATAATAGATGCAATGATAGATGCAATGATAGATGCAATGATAGATGCAATAATATAATAATAGTCCTAAAAGTAATGTTGATCCAATGGTATTGTCTGTGTTTTAATATCGGGGTTAACATGTCATTTCAACTTTGTACTTTCAAAAACTAAATTATCCCCTCCCACTTCTAAAGATATGACAGAGGCCAAGCATGTCACAAGTGATGGAAGTAAAACGGTTTTAGAGCCAAGTGAGATAGATGGATTTTATCACAGTGAAGCTTCTGTGGTTTAAAAGTTACCCCAGCTTTCACATTTCCAAAATTCAAAATGCCTTTTATTTATTATTATGTTTGAATGAAAAAAAATCTTTCATGTACCTTTACAGGGATCATTTGGATATCGTGGATTAGTTGGAGAAAAGGGAATTCCAGGATACCCAGGGGCACGGGTGAGAGCACATTTACCAGAAATATATCATAAGTAGAAAATGTGTGGCAAAACAAGTGCAAGGGCAAAAATGGCTGTACTTTCTCTGTTTTCCTCATTTTAAAAAGTCCTGCAAAGTAATTGTAAAGAACCTAATCTCACCCTAGAAACGGCCAATTACTGCCTATTACAAGACTGAGACAGGAGCTTTAGACAGACGGAGCAGAGTTACACGTTTGTGCCAGAAGTTCTCGATATTATCGTTGATGGATCTAAAATCAACTCCAGTTCTGTGACTAATGAGGAACAATGTGTAATGTGTTTAGAAGTTTAGAAAGACCAATTTGACTTATAAGGATTTTAAACTTATATTATATCCCTTCTCATTCGACCTGTTTCACTGATTACTGCCTACACATTCCTATAACTGATGGATGTTGGTACGTGAATTCTGTTATCAATTATCATGATTACATTTCTTTGTTGAGACATTTTAGCTGTAGAGGTTGTGTGAATGTGGCACTCAGATCCAAAGTATGGCCCAGTCCCAATACCCACACTGCACCCTACACACCTCTACGAAGTGTGCATTTGTTCGAAGTGCACACCAGGGTTGGAGTGCGCAGGTTACAAGCGTGCAAAAAAGGCGGAATAGGGACAGTGCACTGAATGCAGGTTACGTCATCGACTCGTCAAGAGAATTTTCCCTTTGGGAAACAAAATGAATTGCTTCACACACGTTAAAATACATGTATATTAGTTGTTTTTAATTAGAGATAGCTGTATCATTTTAAGTTAAATGTGGGGTAACTAACTATCTGGTCAGTTTGTATACATTCTAAGATTATTGTACTAAGTGTAAAGTTTAAATTGAATGTTATATAAACGCTTGTTTTAAAAAGTTATTAAATTGTTAAAACACAATGTCCGTAATTCTTCATCAGACGTTTATGCTTCTTTCCAAGTAACATAGCAAAACTTATTTACACACATACTGCATATATATTTCAAAATGTATATTTAAATGCATTTTCCCGACGTTTTGGTGTGTACCGCAAAGAATTATGGGCAATATCCTTCGCCAGAGTGCGCATAGATGCAGGCTACGGCGAAGTGTGGATCAGGGGCGCAAAGGGGGCGGGGCCAAAGACCTCCCTGGAGAATTGGGACACCCTACGCACTCGCACCCTTTATCGGGAACGCGCAAATGAGGGGCGCAAGGGTGGAAGTGCGAGTATTGGGACGGGGCCTATAAGTTAAAACTATTCACAGAAGCACATCCTGTTCTTCTTTAAACATGTCTCCAGGAATCGTCACCCATAATGCACTTGTCCTTTTTCTCTTGATAATATATTGTTTTCCAAACAGGGTCCACCCGGTTTTAACGGCCCTCCTGGTCCTCCAGGTCAACAGGTATGTTCGCAGATTACTGTCTATAATTCAAATGATCATAAAAGCAGTAAATAAAAACTGATGGTTACACAAATAATTGATCTATAATATGCTTGTTTTTCTCCAAGGGATACAGTGGCAATCCAGGCTTTCCAGGGCCTCCAGGATTCTCAGGGGGAAAGGTAAATCAGCTTTTACTAAGAGCTGCTCACCACTGATATTTTAAGGCGGAAACAACAGTAATGACATTTTCCCTCTAGATGGGGCTATTGAACTGAGTTAAGTGAGACAAGTTATGAGTTAAAAGCAAGCCCCGGTGATCCAAGATGGTGCCCTATTCAAATCAGCTCGCCCGTGGGCATTGTCTGGTCCTCCCAGTTTTGCGCAGTGGACGAGCTCCCATGATGCTTTGCGCCAGTGTGTGTCTCTCACGCACGTGCACAGAAGAGCTTGGCCGCGCTCTGACCAATCGGAGCTGCTGATCAGAGCGGAGCTTGAGTTGAGTTAGAGCTGGTTTTATGAATTAAAGTGTGGATTTATAGAAAACTGAAAGATTTATTAACAAGAAAAAAAGTTCAGGATGAGAAGGGACACTAAAACTCCCACAAAATCCGACCTTTTTAAGAGCTGTAGGTTCTCTGTCAGCTGAGGTTGAGCTGTTCTCAACGTGCCCACCTGAATTTAGTCTACAGGACCACGGGCACCCCCTGTGTCAATGGGTGGGACAGCCATAAGCTGGTAATACGCTATCCAGTTATTATTATAGATCCATGGTAAAGAGCCAATACATAATAACAGCCTTTTTATCCTTTATTTTAGCCTTTTTAAATTTGTTTACTTTTGTCTTGTCTTCTATTATTGATTGGTTTTAACATTCACAGAAAATCACAGAATATGAGAGTAAGTTTTTGAATAAAAATGGTTGCAAAATAGAATCAGAATCATTTTTATTGCCACGTAAGTAACAGGAGGTCACAGACTAGGAAATTGCTTTGGCTCAGTGCAACAGTCAAAAAGAGATAATAAAAATAAGAATAAAAAACACTTGTAAAGAATAAATTTAAATTTAAAATAGAGTTACAGTTACTATTTACAATATACAAGTGCACATGGTGCACACAATGTAAGGTGACAGCAGTACAGTGAAGTAAAGTGACGTATGATGGGCAGTAAAGTGACTTTATAAAGGGCGGGGGGACAGGTTAAGAAGTGTTCAAGAGTCCAACAGCAGAGGGGAAGAAACTGTTCATGTGGCGGGAGGTTCTAGTCCTGATGGACCGCAGCCTCCTGCCTGAGGGGAGTGGTTGGAATAGTCCATGTGCAGGGTGAGAGGGGTCGGCTGTGATACGACCAGCCCGGCCTCGAGCTCGGGCGACGTACAGGTCCTGCAGCGATGGAAGGCTGCGGCCGATCACTTCCTCTGCAGAGCGCACAATGCGCTGTAGTCTCTGTTTGTCCCTGACTGTGGCTCCAGCGAACCACACGGTGACGGAGGAGGTGAGGATGGACTCGATGATGGCCGTGTAGAACTGCACCAACATCTGTGCAGGCAGCTAGGCTTTCCTGAGCTGCCGCAGGAAGTACATCCTCTGCTGGGCCTTCTTGATGAGGGAGCTGATGGTCGGCTCCCACTTGAGGTCCTGGGTGATGGTGGTGCCCAGGAAACGGAAGGACTCCACAGTGGTGATGGGGGAGTCCATCACGGAGGGTGGGGTGGGGGGACAGTGCTCTTCCTGAAGTCCACAATCATCTCCACTGTCTTCTGGGCGTTCAGCTCCAGGTTGTTACCACTGCACCAGGACACCAGCCGGTCCACCTCCCTCCTGTAGGCGGACTCATCGTTGTTGGAGATGAGTCCAATGAGGGTGGTGTCGTCCGCGAACTTGATCAGCTTCACGGAGTCGTGGCTGGAGGTGCAGTGGTTGGTGTACAGGGAGAAGAGCAGGGGAGAAAGAACACAGCCATGTGGGGCTCCTGTATTTATAATCCGAGAGTCCGAGACATTCTTCCCCAGACGCACTCGCTGCTTCCTGTCCGTCAGGAAGTCAGTGATCCACCTGCAGGTGGAATCGGGCACGTTGAGCTGGGAGAGCTTGTCCTGGAGCAGGGATGGCAGGATTGTGTTGAAGGCAGAGCTGAAGTCCACGAACAGGACCCTGGCGTAGGTCCCCGGGGAGTCCAGGTGCTGTAGGATGTGGTGGAGGGCCAGGTTAATGGCGTCGTCTACAGATCTGTTGGCTCTGTAGGCGAACTGCAGGGGGTCCAGGAGGGGGGAGGTGAGGGACTTGAGATGGGAGAGAACCAGGCGTTCAAATGACTTCATGACGACAGATGTAAGTGCTACAGGTCTGTAGTCATTGAGTCCTGTGATCCTGGGCTTCTTCGGGACGGGGACAATGATGGAGGATTTGAAGCAGGCCGGGACATGGCAGGACTGCAGAGAGGTGTTGAAAATGTCCGTGAACACAGGAGTAAGCTCACTGGCGCAGGACCGCAGAGAACGTTCATATTTTTAAGAGTAGGCTCAAGACGCACCTTTTTAGAGCAGCTTTTGATTAGTATTTATTATCTATTATTGCTTTTTAGTACATCTATTTATGTTTTTAGATGGATTATATTTTTATTTATTTTTATTATTTACTATTTTTAATTATTTATTGTATCTACCCATTTACTATTGTTATTATATTAGGCAGCTGCCATTTTTCTTTTTATTTTCACATTCTATTGTTCTACTTTCTATTGTATTATTGTATTGTTTTAGTGTCCCCAGTGTTTCCTCTGGAGGAGCCCTCTGCACTGAGAGCTGGGGTCTGCTGTGGCTTCGGGGGACTGGCTCTTGGATCCGGTGGGGGTCTGGGGCCTCCTCTCTCCTCTGGGTCCTATGGGGTCTGAGTCCTGGGCCTGGTGGGGTCTGGGGCCCCTCTCTCCTCTGGGTCCTGTGTCGTTGCCTGTGGCTGCAGCCGCTCTCTGCTCCTGGTGCAGATGGCTCCTTGGATGACGCTTCTTCAGCCGGTTACATCTGCTCCCAGCCCCATTTCTTTTATTGTTTTACCTATTTTACCTGATATGACTTTATACTTGTGTATATGTGTATGTGTGTGTGTGTGTGTGTGTGTGTGTGTGTGTGTGTGTGTGTGTGTGTGTGTGTGTGTGTGTGTGTGTGTGTGTGTGTGTGTGTGGGTGTATTGTATATATAATTATAAATGTGATTTTGGGGGGTCTGTGGGGAGGAGGGTTTAGGGCTGGGCATGTTGGATTGTTTTTAACTAAACTGTAAAGCACTTTGTGTTACACTTTTTGTATGAAAAGCGCTTTATAAATAAAATTTGATTGATTGATTGATTGATGGCGCAGTGTCTCAGAGTGGCCAGAGACACGTGGTCCGGGCCAGGAGCTTTGCGGGGGTGCAGCCTCAGGAAGAGTTGTTTAATCTCTTTAGCGGCTATTGTTAGGCTGGGGGCAGGGCTGATGGGTGGGTCGTTAGAGTAGTGGGGGGTGGGGGAGGGAGAGGTGTCAGGGGCAGCATCAAAGCGACTGAAAAATAAGTTCAGATCGTCAGCTAGCTTGTGGTCGTCAGCACAGGGGGGGGCTTTGGGTTTGTAGTTGGTGATCTCCCGTAGGCCCCTCCAGACAGAAGCAGTATCGTTGTTACCAAACTGCTCCTGTAGTCGTTCTCTGTGCCGGGACTTGGCTGCTTTCAGTTCTCTCCTGAACTGATATTTAGCTGCTTTGTAGCCGCTGCGGTCCCCCTCCCTGAAAGCAGACTCCTTTGCTTTCCTGAGCTGCCGGAGTTTAGCAGTGAACCAGGGTTTGTCGTTGTTATAGATGACCCTGGTCCTTGTTGGAATGATGCTATCCTCACAGAAGTGAATGTATGACGTCACAGTGTCCGTATATTCATCCAAACTATCTGTGGCAGCTCTGAAAAGGTCCCAGTCTGTAGATTCCATGCATGCGCGCAGCTCTTCCACAGCTTCATCAGACCACACTTTGGAGCTCCTCATTGCAGGTTTCGAGAGCTTTAGTCTCTGTCTGTAAGCAGGAACCAGATGTATCATGGAGTGATCTGAGAAGCCGAGGGCTGGCTTGGGAACAGCGCGAAAAGCTCCGCGCACGGTGGTGTAACAGTGATCCAGAGTGTTCTCCTCTCTGGTCGGGCATTTGATAAACTGTCTGTATTTGGGTAATTCCTGGCTCAAGTTTCCCTTATTAAAATCCCCCAGGATAATAATCAGAGAGTCCGGGTATAAGCGTTCCATACGCAGTACTTGCTCTGCGAGTGCGCGCTGAGCCTCGCGTGCGTCCGCGCATGGCGGTATGTAAACAGAGGCAAGAATGAATGAAACAATTTCGCGCGGGGAGTAATATGGTTTACAATGAATGAAAAGATATTCCAGAGCAGGAGAGCAGTGCTTGGAGATCACTGTCACATCGTTACACCAGTTTGTATTGACGTAGAAACACAGCCCACCGCCTCTGCTCTTCCCTGAGAGCGCACAATGGCGATCCGCGCGGAACAGCCCAAAGCCCTGCAGCTCCAGAGCGCAGTCCGGGATCCGCTCATTTAGCCAGGTCTCAGTGAAGCAGAGGACACAGGATGTGGCGAAGTCCTTGTTTCTTCTCATGAGCAGGCTGAGTTTGTCCATCTTATTGCCCAGTGAGCGTACGTTGGAGAGAAAAATGCCGGGGAGAGCCGTGCGCGCTCCTCTCCTCCTAAGACGCACGAGCAGGCCTCCGCGCTTTCCCCTTTTACGGGCCCACACTTTTTTGGCTAGAACATGAACTAAATCAGCCGCAGATGCCAAGAAAACAGGCAATAGGTCCATGGGAACGGTGGGTCGGATGTTCATAAGTTCCTCACGGGTGTAGGAACAGCCAGATGCGCAGTTAAAAAGTAAAAACAAAAGAAAAAGAGAGCAGCAAAGAGCCATGTCGACCGTACGAGGCGCCATCTTTGTATAAATAAATAGGAATGCAGGTTCCAAATATTGTAAATTTTAGGTGTTGGTTTCATAATAAATTTGAATAATATACCAATATTGCAATGGACAGAAAAACTAAGTCATATTTATTTAGGAACAATGTAACATTTACAATGGGTTTTGTGTCTGGGAAAAGTAAAAAGTCTCACTTGCAAAATTATGGAACAGGGTTTATTCACAACCCTTTTGGCACCAGCTGCAAACTTGCGTTATCTGTCCTGTTTATGTTTTATGCTATGTTTTATAATTCAGGGCCTTCAAGGAGAACCCGGGCTTCCAGGACCTCCCACTTACGTCAGTGATTTTGGCACTGCTGTTCAAGGTCATTCACTCGCACCAAAGTTGGACAAAAATTACATTCAGTTTTTTCTTAATTTTTATTGTGTACCGCAGGTTCCCCCGGAGACAACGGGCGCCCTGGAACCCCTGGACCTCCCGGTGACCAAGGGGCTCCAGGATTTCCAGGTCTCCCAGGACTCCCCGGAACCTTCACAGGGACTGGAGGTAAGGCCTAGCAGTGTAACAGTATTTTACTCAGAGCACTGTTACCACAATATTGTTCTCATGGTACATCATTTTCTTCAATTCATGTTAAATATTAAAACTAAACACAAACATAAACGTGAAAGATAAAGATGTGACGTCAGTGTATTACAGTGTTATATGCTTCTCTTGTTGTTGTGTTAAGAACCTTTGGGGCCCCCTGAGCTGCCACCAGGATCACCAGGGGGCCCTAGACCCTACATTTGGAGACACTTGTCTTGTATTATTTTTGTTGTATTTTATTTAATAAAAAACTGCACTTCGGATTTGTAAAGAATCTCACAATTATGGAAAATGCATGGTGTCTGTAGAAGTGATGCAGATGGAACACGCTTTAGCTTTTTTTCATGTAATAAGTGTAATAAGTCTTTTATTTTTCTATAGTTTGTTGCTCATCTTCTCTTTCCAAATATAGGGCGTGGAGCTCCAGGTTTCCCTGGTACCCCAGGACCAAAGGGTGAGAAGGGTAACCCCGGCATCCCGAGCTACGGCCCCGAGGGACAGCCTGGCAGTACTGGACTGCAGGGGCCCCAAGGATCCCGCGGACCCCCTGGACCCCCCGGTAATGAGCACAGGATAATGTTCCTCATGTTACTGATACTAGTCTTTGAAACAAATAGGACTTTATCGTAAAGGAGACGTAGGATACACAATTTCAATGAAGTCATTGTTTTTCCTTGTCAATAATCCCACCAACACCATTTGGCTTTTGTGCCCTTAGACACAAGCAATAAAACACTTAGGGTCTAGTGCACATGTGTCAAAGTCAAGGCCCGCGGGCCAAATCCGGCCCGCGAATGAATTTTACATGGCCCGTTGCCTGCCACACTATTACGTCAATTGCGTTTTCTGCTATTTTCATGTTCCCAGATGTCTATTATATCTAATATCTATGGGGATAAGCTTGAGAGCATATTGAATCGAGCCAGCAGGTGGCAGCAGCGCTCTCTGAATAGTTTGAAAACAGCTAGATGCACTTGTTCTGCCTCTTTTTTCTCAACTTTTTGGTGATTTCAGTTAAACTTCCCTCTACTCAACTGGGGATTACAAGCTAGAAACAAAAATCTTTTTGCTGATGAAAGTAGACAGTGTATTCTTTCAGAATCTGGTTTCGGATTTCAGATAGCCATAGTACACAATTTTCTGTGGTTCTTGAAAAATCTATAAAAATCATCAGAAACTGCTGGCAATATGGGAGTACCTGTTCTGAAATAGGCTGGCAGGCAATGAGTTAATAAACATTGAACCAGTCCGGCCCTCGGCTCGCAGCAAATTTGTTTTTTTGGCCCTCTGATGTATTTGACTTTGACATGCCTGGTCTAGTGGATGTTTGGCCACTGAAGTTAGGGGTGTTGTCTTAACGCTCATGGGTCGTCTGGAGCAGTGTTCCCCAATCTGTTTCATTGGTAACAGTCACATGGCACATCACCAGCTGAAATTGATACAAACATGAAACTCTGCACCCTCTCTTAACACAGCAAAGTCTTTCTCATCAACGTGTATTATATAGATTACTAAATAAGCTCAAAAAAGTTTTTCTAATCTTCTCACATTATTTAATTTTTACATTATTTTGACCAATAAGGCAATATTTCCATAACCACACCCAACATGCCATGGCACGCTGGTTAAAAACATCCTGATCTCGCTGTGTTTAAATGTTCTTTTTGTGACCACAGTCGATCGCTTTACCAACAGTAATGAGGTCTATAATACACATTAGTTATTGTATATATATCTGAACTATGTCTGACTTGTCAGTTTGATGGTAATGCATCGTAAAGCGGAAGTTTTTGATCTTTACGGTAAATAAACAGTGTACCGGTAATTCAATTTGGAGAGACGAGAAAACAAGAAGCTTTTGAGTATTTTATTGGGAGGAGGTTTGGCGCCCTAGGCCCCGGTGCGGCCTTCAGATCGGAGAGGCTCCTGCGATGGAGCGCGCCAATCCCCCGGGACCTAGGCACTGGTGGCGGCATTTGGCAGCGGGAAGCAGATTGAAGGCAGATTGGAGGCAGGGTGAAGAGGAGGAGGAGGGGAGGCGGTGGTTGCAAGCTTCGGGAGGCCGTGAAGTGGGAGTTTCTCCGCTTTTAAGCGGCTGCCTGGACGTTACGGGTGATTGGAAGGGGGCGTTTGCTGTGCGATAGGCTGGGGATGTGAACCGGCCTGGAGGGGGTAACTTTGGCTGACGTCTACCAAATTGAATTTCCGCGGGCTGCATTAGACTTGTCCTATAGCTATGTACATAGATAGATCCAATGTTTTATTTTTTAAAGCATATGTTAGCATACGATTTTGGTAAATTTTGCATTTATTTCATGTTAATATTTGACAATAGCCTGGTGTTACCCTACCATTGTACAAATTTTATTTGTACAAAGGTTTTGCTCCATTGAGCTCCGTTAACAGGTGGGAGGGTTAACTTATTTTGCAGATTGAAACGATTGGATCTGAATTTACCGTGATGTATGTTATGTGCCCGAGTGAGTTGCTAGCATTTAGCATTTAGCCTAGCTTTATCCATCTCCTTTTCCACTAACGGAGCCAATGGTAAATAGAGCCACAACATCTTTGTCAGCAAAGACATTTGCTAAACATTCCTCTTGCTCTGGCTTAAATGTTTTGATATTTGAAGCCGAACCAGCAGTGATTACTTTACTTTCGCATTCACCGCTAAACTACAACCAGCAAATTCTGTTCAAACTCTTGACGTCACTGACACCTGCTCGCTAAATGGTTGGATGGGATACAACCGAGGTTACCGCAGCCACTAGGATCAGACCCAGACGTACAGTACATGTAGGAAATGTTAATGGACCGGTGTTTACGGATGGCTAAGGCCAGGCTCATTTAACAAGGGACCAGTGTAATAATCAATTTCCTACTTTCCTTCCTCAGAGGTCTTTGTATTTTTGAAATGATTTAACAAACTTTTGTCTTTGCCATTAAGTCCACCTACACCCGTTCTTATTGATTCACTGGGGTTCATCTGAGCATTCGCTTATTAGCTTCTAATTTTTTTGGTCATGATGTCAAATCTGTAAGACTTAGAATTCCAAATTTCTTTCTTAAATGGACAGTAAGTAATACACAGTCTAAGCAATCAATGAGTGATTACAGTGTGATTACAATTACATGAACACTTTCGTTGCCAGAATCTTTCACACAAAAATTATCTGTTACTCAAATATGATTTGTACAAAAAACTATAACTGAATATGAAACCTCACAATTAAGTATGATACTGTATAAATACAGTAAACATACATTCACACGTCTTCTTTAAAAATAAATCAATTCTAAAGCCTTGGCCTTGAAGTTAATCAAGTGCTTCAGCAATGACAAAAGGATGGATGTAAACATAATTTTTAAAGCTCACTGATTGTATTGTCTCCAAGGATTGAATGAACCCTGCGTCATCTATCCTCCCGGCCCCCCAGGTACCATAAGGTCATTAAATCATGGCAATAATGAGCCTTCAATAAAACAAGCTCAAGCCATCACTGTCTCTATGTGCCTTACTGATGCTATAACTGATGCTAAACTGATGCTGGCCTGGTGCTATACTGATGCTGGCCTGGTGCTATACTGATGCAGGCCTGGTGCTATACTGATGCAGGCCTGGTGCTATACTGATGCATGCCTGGTGCTATACTGATGCAGGCCTACTGGTGGTGCTGGTGAGTATATTCAAAGGCTTCAGACTTGAATGGGAATGTTCAAGCTGCTTTACTCATCTTTGACCAGAAGATGTCGCCAATGAACAGTTCAATGATTTCTCAATAGCACTGTGTATTATTTTGGCACATGTGACACTACAAAACAGGTAAATATTATGAATTAGTGATGTACGCTGCCTAAAGTTTGACTTAAAACTGTCCATATGTCTATGACACTGACATTGAATGATTATATGGAATATATCATTCCATATAATATGGAATGATATATTCATTCCATATTATATAACATCTCCCATGTAACATCTCCCATGTTCTGATGGGATTTTGTGTTTGCTAAATACCCCAAACTTGAGATTTCAGTAGAAATCATCTGGATGACCCCAAACTTAAATGAGCAGTGTACATGCCAAAATGACACAGTGCATGTTCTCTGTCATGGTCAACGCAAAATCATTGAATCAGTTCTCACAGCTCGTTCATATTTTCACAACGTCTAATATATAATATATATATATAATGATAATATATATATATCATATATAGACAACTGTGCTCTTGCAAAGGCAGCTTAAACCCAAACGCAGATTCCACTAGGTTCATTCAGTTCTGAGCAGTCTTATAAATCAGGTTTTTTGTTCATCTTTTGCAGGGCCGAATGTTGATGGAGTTACCATCCCGGGTCAACCGGGACTGCCCGGTGCGAGAGGAGATCCTGGTGGCCCTGGATTCAAAGGAATCAGAGGTTTCCTTCACAATCTGATACAATACAATTTCTCAATAATATATCATGATAATAATTCATATATTCAAATATTGTACTGGATTCTCTACAACAACAACATGAATTCAAACCCCAGCAACACAACGTGACCCACGTGACAGATCCAAAAACCGAGACAATTAAGAGAGTCTTAGGTTTTCAAATTTAGAATCTTTTTTAACCAATATTTATGTATATTATCACTGATGCTCTCCTGCAGGTGATTCAGGGGACTGTGCTTGTGCCGGTGGAGGAGTGTCTGGGACTCCGGGGCCTGAAGGACCACCAGGACCCAGTGGGACACCCGGGTTCCCTGGAGCCAAGGGCGAGCCAGGGAATGGAGGAGCACCCGGCTACAACGGTGCTCAGGGACCTTCAGTGAGTTCAGGATTTATAGATACACAAGAATGATTATGTTTGTATTAGTGGGGCAAGAAAGGAATCAATCACATAAATGTATTTCAAATGTGTGACATATTTATACACATTCAGCAAAAAACAATCAAAATAAACAGAAATACAGTTTAAGGGGTTTGACACACAAGACAGAGACCCAAACACTCACTGACCCTACATCTCTATCCTCCTTGTACTTCTTCTGTGTTTTAAATTCAAAACATGTTTTTTATTATTTTATGTTATTCCATATTATTACAAATGTGCACAGACTTTCACATTTATAGTTCTAAATGTATTTTTTGTTCTTCCCCTTAGTCTATTATTTTGGTCAGCATCTCTATCATGAAGGTTTTGTACATTAGGTGGCAGAGAGTATTCAGATGTCCTGAACATTATGTGTTCTAAATCTTGCTATTGAAGTTCTCCCAAATGTATGTAACAGTGTTTTAGTAATGTCTATAGTGGGTTGAGTACAACGAATCTAACTGACATAACTCTGTCTTACATCTATTTAGTAATCTTGTGTAAAAGATCACAAGATCTTTTTATATAAGCTATGAAGTTTCTATTCTATTACTAATTTATATTGTTGTAGTTTGGAACAGATCCTTCTCTCAGTTGTGGTTCATCAAATCAAATCATAAACATTTAAAACGAGATTATAAAAATAACCAGTGACTTTCATGCTCTTTGGTTTCTTCTTAGGGCCCAGCTGGACCTCGAGGAGGATTTGGGCGTAAAGGAGAGAAGGGCACTTCCTATTACCCCGTCCAGGGTTATGGAGTGAAAGGGGAGATTGGAGCACCTGGACCCAGAGGACCCAACGGAGAGACAGGAAAACCAGGACGAGATGGGTTACCACCGGGCTTCCCTGGCGCCCCCGGAGCTCCAGTGAGTATCACGGTCGTCTATTTTCATGAAGTTCACGAACCACTTCATGGAGATGGGATTGCTTAGTTTGGACTGTACCTAATGGTCTAAAATGACTGTTTTTACTACTCAAAAACATACTCCTTATCTCTCCTCAAACCATAGACTTTATGTAGAGAAGGGGTCTCCAACCCGCTCTAGAAAGGGCCCCTGTGGCTGCAGGTTTTCTATGTGACCAAGTGGGAGTCCTCATGTGAGTTCAGTCTTAGGCCATGTTCACAGGTAGCCAGTTATTTTAAAAACTGAATATTTCCCCCCTTCTGTTTATCCACATTACTTTGTTTTCATGTTACATAACTGAACATCTGCGTTTTCAATCACATTCATAACATTCCAAACATTTTAGTTACGTCCTCTGACGTCCTGCGTTGGTGAAAAAACACAGAGCAGGAGTGGTGGGCGGGGCTTTGATGCTAACGCCGGTACTTCTGTAGCAGCACTTTTACTGTCACAGTAGAAACTCAGCGTGAAGACATATGTTCACAAGCACTGTGTCCCCCATTGTCAGCCATGGCTCAATCCTGGTTTAGCTCCTGTTTTGGTTGTTTTCGAGCATGAGTCCCCGTGACCACTTTGCTGCATCTCCTGCTTTCGCTGCATCTCTGTATCCACTGCCTCTGCTGCGCCGCTACGCATGATCCGGTGGAACCACAGTTTTTATGGCAGTAATCCATGCGTCTTCAGAGGCACGCTTGACGTCAAAGCAGATTTGTTTTTGTTTTGGCACATATTGTGACGTGCGAGTTTTCAAAAATGTTCACTTTGCCCGGAATTTTTAAAATCTTTTATACTTTTTAATTGTTTATGCTGCGTTGTCAGGTGGATGACAGGTGCAAACAAAGAAAAATATATTTGGTTTAGCAGATACCTGGCTACGTGTGGACAGGGCCTGAATCTGAATATTTGAGGAAATGGTTGGAGTCTGCTCTCCTTCTGCTTTGTCTGAAAGAAAATTGAGTACAGGATTGGACACCGCATATATCGAGGGAAAACGTACTTGCTTATTGACGCCTAAAATAGGCGTCAATATACTCAGTATACTCCTGTAACCATTTGTGACTTCTCTTTCCGAATTCGGCTTTGGCTTGCAAGCAGGAACTGGCTTTTTTTCTTGTTGTTTGCTAAGCTGTTGTTTCAACTTTGAGTTAGTTTGAATCAGTTTCTTCAGCATTAGGAAAACAATATGGGTGACATCAGCAGTAGCCCTTCTGTTATGCTCCAGACATAACTTGATACTTGTCTCCAGTGTAGAGGGGAAAGTTTAATGTCATACTGTGGAATATTTCAGGCAACTCTTCATTTGAATGGACCAAGCAAAAGTTAGAAACATGTTTATCTAAAAGACTTTTCAGTGAATTATGCAGATGCAAGAAAGAAGAAACCCTTCCTTCATGCCCTAATGGGCCCTGTTTAGACTATAAAAGAATAAACAAAAAATGCCCCTTTGTCTGTTTTCAGGGCGATGCTGGATATGGTACATTGGGTGAAAAGGGTTTCCCAGGATTCCCAGGTTCTAAAGGTCTTCCTGGAGGTCCTGGAGAACCTGGGATTGGTTACGCAGGGACCCCCGGATACAGAGGCGAGCCCGGAGACCCTGGTATACCCGGTTTGCCTGGAGCACCCGGGTATCCTGGAGAGAAAGGTCAGTGCACAGTGTGACGTCTTTGAACAGTAGTAACGTTTTGAAATGCCTTGAATTGAGTGGTCGATATGAATGGTTTTGACAAGATTAGATACATTCACTTTTTAGGTTTATTTCCCTTTTATGATATTTAGAACTAAACAGCAGAACATGTGAGAAGAAGTTCATAAGAATATCTCCTCTGTTATAACACACTAATCTGTGATAACAAACTGCAATGTTCTCTGTCTAATAATAATAATAAGGATATTAGTAGCACTAATAACATTAGTAATGAATAATAATAATAATAAACATGGTAATTGTAAATATAATAATAGTCATGGTAATAATAGTAATAATAATCCAACAAATCTCTAAAAAACAATGCAATTCCCCCCGATCTTTGAAGTGAACACATCTAAGCCTGTCAGTCATATCAACATAAACATTGATAATTCATGTTTTTTCCTGTAGAGTGAGTGTGTGGATGTGATGAGTTTTTCAACAGGGTGAAACTGCAGCATCTCATCCATCGTCACATAGACCTCATTATAGTCCATTTTAACCTCGAGAAGCCTTTAGTCCAGAGCTGGTCCTGTATTTGCCGCTGGTCCGACCTCAGCAGCTTCCCGCCTTCTGCTGCAGCTGTTAACGACTTCCTTAATGGTCTCCATTAATGAGCTTCTGTGCAGCAATAATAATAATCACAATATTCACTGCTTCATTTTAACAGATGTATTTGCTGAATGTGTAAACAGCCGCTGTGATTTATTTAGTCTCAGAAAAAACTGTATTAATGCATTTATAGTTTGTTTAACAATCACAAAACATTCTGGAAAAGTCTAAATGTGCAAAGATAATATATATTGTAGGGCTGTCAAAATTATCGCGTTAACCACGTTCATTAAATTTTTTTCCCAATTGCGTTAAAAAAATTAACGCAGTTAACGCATGCCCATGCATCCCATAATAACACGGAATAGCACGGACACGTGTGTGTTGGAGACAGAGCAGGTCTCTGGGAATTCAAGTTTTAAAAGAATGCACGCGTGATCGCTGCTGTTTCCTGTATGAACTCTGCGAGCTGAGCGGCGGGTGCTCTGAACAGCAGGTCCCACCTCCAGCGACTGTGATCACGGCGAACGGCGCCGCATAACGTGATCATATCCAAGACCATACTCAGAACTATTCTCTGATTGCAATGTGCGTGTCTTTGCGTAACCGGTGCATAGAATAAATACAGCGCAGAAGCTGGACAACGAAGCCTCCGTCTCCTCCGTGTCTTCTCCCGAAGCGCACTATTAAAGCTGGGGTACCTAATTTTCCCTTCCACTACCAGTTCATGACAGATTTACTGGCATTCTGCATTTAAGACTGTTTTAAATGTCCCTCATCTGTAACAAACAATAGTTTTGGTCTGAGTCTAAACAGAAATACAGAATGTTAATAATGTTAATGCCATTTTATATGGATTTATTGTTCTAATAAACAAATAGTGTTTACACTATGTTGTCATTTATCTTTCCATTCAAACAACCATTTACAGAAAAATATGGCATCATTTTGCCGATAGTTTGAAATGCCATTAATTATGATTAATTAATCTTTAAGCTGTAATTAACTCGATTAAAAAATGTTATCGTTTGGCAGCCCTAATACAGTATATTGCTGTGAATGGGAGTCCGCAGCGTTCTGGGGCAGCCACGGCCACTTTGGACAGCGGTTCCCGCGTCCAGTAGCTGTGAGCGGCTTTCAACAACACAGGAGTGCAGCCGTAACGTGGCCATGTACCCAAGGCCATATACACGCACAAGACCACTGTGTGCACTGATCACGCACAGGCGTGACCAGTGCACACAACAAAAACAGCGCTGCAAGAAACAGTCCGTCTCCCCCGTGTCTTCTCCCAAAGCGAAAAAAGACGCTAAATTAAAGCTGGTGTACCTAACTTTTTCCTTTGCACTACCATTTCAAGTTGTTTGTGCCCAAAAATGAAATGTTGTGAGCAAATCAAAAAAATTTAGTGACAGCCATTGGCTGACATGCATTTCAGACTATTTTTAAATGTCCCTCATCCCTGTAACAAACAATAGTTTGTAGAGGCACAATAATGGAGAGGATCCACAGCCTTTATGAGACAGAGAAAAAGAAGAAAGCGGAGGCTTTAGCAGATGCGGAATATGTCGAGCTGAAAAAATAGTGTGGTACTACAGAAAAACAGAATGTTAATAATGTTAATGCCATTTTATGTAGATTTATTGTTATAATAAACAAATACTGTACATGTTGCTCCTCTGGGGTTCAGAGGGCATACGTGCGTGTGTGCGAAGTACTAGCTTGCCTGTGATAAAAGAATAGAGAGCACATGCGTTTAGCTGTTTTTTTACTTCAGCACAAGAGGATTGTTCTTCCTCTTTACAATCAACAACAACAGCGATCCAAATACAATTACTATTCTCAATGGCCTTCAAAGAGTCCAAAAGTCCATGTGGCCGTAGCTAAATAAGCTATACTAATCACATATGACAATTACAATATTACAATTTCTCCAAAAGTAAGAAAAATAAAATACAAAATGTATTGTCTTAACCTTTTTTTAATGTATATTTTTTTACCTTTTTAACTAATTATTCTTACCATGAAATAAATCAATATTTATCTTTATTTCTATTTATCTTTTTAACTGTACAAATATTTATCTTTTTAACTGCAAACATACTTTTACTGAAATCACTGTGCTTAATATATAATTAACTAAGCCAATGTCCTTAACTACAAAATGGCTACTCTGTATCTAATACAGTAGTACAATGGCATTACTCGTATTTGGTCATAACCTTTAATGTACACCTTGGTGATAAAAATAAACCCAGTAAGTGTCTCATTGTAGTGAAAAACGTTTCATCTATGTCCTAATAATACTCAAATGGTTCTGTGTATATATTGCTTTTTCCCCGCGTTGTAAGTCCCCTACCCTTGACCATTAGCTTAGCAGGTAGCTTAAACACGATTACAATTCTACTAAAAAAACGTACAAAACTTCGTTCCTGCTACCTTCACACTTGACAGTTCTACCATAACCACCTTATGACTCGGATAATATACCTAAACTTTGCGAACATTTAGTGTTACCAACCTGTGATAAAAGAATAGAGAGCACATGCGTTTAGCTGTTTTTTTTACTTCAGCACAAGAGGATTGTTCTTCCTCTGCGATGCCTCAGCTATTCTCTATCAATACGCGTCATGCGCCATCTAGTGGTCAAGGGTAGGGACCACATCTAACTCAAAAGAGATGTATGTAAACCAAATGAGGTTTTATATGAAAATAAAATAATTAAATGACAAAAATAAAAATTATAGGGGTGTCTATTTTTACTTGGACTATTTCCAGGCCTCTACACTCTCCCCTACTTAAAATAAATGTCTCCCGACATTTCACGCTTTAGGATGACTTAGTTAACAAGAGTGTACCAGTTATAAGCATAAGGTTGGGGCTGGATGGGGTATGGATATGGCATAAAGTTCTGAACTGTTGGCACATGAGTTGGGAGAAAGAGAGGTCTTACGTTTGCAATCCATGGCTGGGATGATGGTTGTCCCAGAGCGTCATAAGTAAGTCTCTCCACAGGTTGTGCTCTCCTCTGTGACCTTCTCGGTTCCTCATGTTCTCCATTATTTCCATCCATTTCCTCCATTTGTCCTTGTTCCTCCTGCAACAAAGCTGGTTCAACCATTTGCTCCTCAGCAACTTGCTGTGTGGACACAGGTTCCTGTCTCACTGGAGGGTGAAATTCTCTAGCTGTGGCATTGAGTCTTTGCTGGTTTTGAGGATTTTGCACGGGCACGACAGGTTCTGGTTGCTGAGTGTTTTGGCTTGGGGCATTTTGCTGAGATTTTACAAGTCTGTATACAGGAATGTTGCTCCGGAGGTTATAACGATAAGTGTACTCTTCCTCGTCCTCCGAGCTATCACTGTCTCTTTTGTCATCGTCTGGATTTGTTTCAGTTCTTTTGTCTCTTTTCTGTTTCGACTTTTTGCATACAGGCAGTTCTTCTTCCAAAGGCAAATCATTTACTGGCAATAACAGATTTCTGTGTAACACTCGTATGACTTTACTGCCTCTTTCTGCTTGTACTTTATAGACTGGTCCATCGCCTACTCTCTCGACTACGCGATGTACTTCTGATTCCCAGTACGCACGCAATTTTCCCGAACCTCCTCTTTCAGAGAGGTTCCGAACCAGCACTCTGTCACCTGGTTGGAGAGTGACACCTTTGATGCGTTTGTCGTACTGTTTTTTTCCTTTGCCTGAAGATTTTTGACTGTTCTCTGCGGCGATTTTGTAAGCTACACGCATCCTATCAGCCCACCTTTTAGCATAGGTCTGATGGTTGTGTTTCTCTGTCTCGTTTATTTGATTGAAAAGTAGGTCCACTGGCAATCGCGGAGCTCTGCCGTACAAGAGGAAAAATGGCGAGTATCCTGTTGCCTCGTGCCTCGTGCAATTGTAGGCATGGACGATTTGCGGAAGATGCTCTTTCCATTCACTTTTTTTCTCCTCCTGTAGAGTACGAAGCATTTGGAGTAGTGTACGATTCAGGCGCTCCACAGGGTTGCACTGCGGATGATATGGTGTAGTTCGTGAGTGAGCAATTCCTGACAGTTGTTGTAATCTTTGGAATAGATTGTTCTCAAACTCACGTCCCTGATCATGATGTAGCTTTTCTGGATACCCGAAACGTGGTATGAAGTCTTGGAATATCTTTTCTGCAGCTGTGTTGCCTGACTTATTCTTTGTTGGGTACGCCTGTGCGAAGCGAGTAAAATGGTCTTCAAGTACTAAAATGTACTCGTACCCTCCTTTACTTGGTTCAAGGTGTAAGTAATCAATGGAGACTAACTCGAAAGGAGCACTGGTTGTGATAGATCCCATAGGAGCTCTCTGCTGAACGTTTGGACGTTTTTGTTTGATGCACGGACATTTCTTTGTGACATAATCTTCAATGTCTTGTTGCATATACGGCCAATAAAAACGTTCACGTGCCAGATATACCACTTTATCGCAACCAACATGACCCATATCGTTGTGTAAGCTCTTTAACACCATTGGTTTTAACAGTTCGGGGAGGACAAGTTGTTTGTTATGCTCCGTTTTTCTGTACAAGAGTCCATTGTCAACTTCCAACTTGTTCCACTCATACAGTAGTCTCCTTGTTTGTTTACTCATTGTCCGTTTGTCTTTGTCGTTAGGTGTCCATCTTTTGAGTTTGAGTGAGATCACTTCTTTGATTGAGTCATCTTCCTGTTGAGCTGTTTGAATGTCTTTGGGTGTCATGCTCAAAACACTTTCTGTTGACTCACTTTCACTGGAACTCAGTTGTAGCGCAGCTACCCAGGGTACATCGTTGTTTTGGACTGCCTTACTACCCTGCCACACTGCGAACACTACTTCTGGTAAAACTGTTTCTGTGTACTCGCCCATTTGCTGTTGGAGATCTAATGGGTATCTGGATAACATGTCTGCATCTGCGTTCCTTTTCCCCGGCCTATACTTAATGTCAAAATGGAAGTCTGCCAACTCCCCAACCCACCTATGACCCACTGCGTTTAACCTGGCTGAACTGAGGACATAGGTTAAGGGATTGTTATCTGTATAGACGGTAAAGGTCGGCGCGTAGTACAGATAGTCACGGAATTTATCTCAGATGGCCCATTTGAGCGCTAAGAACTCCAGTTTACCGGAATGTAAGTGGTAATTTTTCTCGGCAGGTGTGAGAGTTCGAGAGCCATAGCCAATCACTTTGAGTTTATTGTCTTAGGGCACTGGTCAGCTGATGAAGCTCTTGCTGGATTTCCCATCTCAGGTCACGTAGCACAGCCATCTCTGGTTAGTTGGGTTCTGTCGCTGTTGTCATCGGCTCAGGAACAGGTGATCAGCTTCCCTTGGTTCTTCAATGATTAGTGCCGTCCAGCAGGTGGCGCTAATCCCGGACGAGCCCCCAAAATTGTTGCTCCTCTGGGGTTCAGAGGGCATACGTGCGTGTGTGCGAAGTACTAGCTTGCCTGTGATAAAAGAATAGAGAGCACATGCGTTTAGCTGTTTTTTTACTTCAGCACAAGAGGATTGTTCTTCCTCTGCGATGCCTCAGCTATTCTCTATCAATACGCGTCATGCGCCATCTAGTGGTCAAGGGTAGGGACCACATCTAACGCAAAAGAGATGTATGTAAACCAAATGAGGTTTTATATGAAAATAAAATAATTAAATGACAAAAATAAAAATTATAGGGGTGTCTATTTTTACTTGGACTATTTCCAGGCCTCTACATACACTATGTTGTCATTTATCTTTCCATTCAAACAAAATATGGCATAATTTTGCCGATAGTTCGAAATGAGATTAATAACGATTAATTAATTTTTAAGATGTAATTAACTCGATTTAGAATTTTAATTGTTTGACAGCCCTAATATATATATATATATATAATCACTTCTATAGGTAGCGTTCTTGTGACATCACAACATTCTATAGTTTTATGTAAGGCAGCTGAAAAATCAATCGTAACTATGGTAACTGTCATATTTCTAGTCTATTGAGACTAATAAAGGTTTATCTTATCTTATATTTCAAGATTTTTAGAACATTCCTCTGTAATCCTTGGTCCAATCCACATGAAACAAAAACTGTCACAAAGTATCACATCTTCTTTGTCAGCACATATCAACTACAAGATGTCTATGTTCAAAAACATGATGTTGGACATTAAAAATGACTTCCAGACATAAGAATAATATGGAGGCTTTGTGCATGGAATCACTATCAAGCATTTGGTCATTTTCTTTTTCAATATTTCAAAAATGTCTTCTCTAATAATCCTACAACATGAACGCAACCTATATTATTTAACCTTTTTCTATTGGAACCAGATGCTTTTTCTTTTTCCACGCTCAGTTCCTTGTTTATACCTCATTTGAATTGAGAATTAGCTGTTTTAATGTAAGTAAAATAACAAGATTGACAAATATAGAAAAACAACTTCAAGGGGCCATTGATTCGGTCAGTCCAACATAATCACCTCTTTACTCTTTATTGAACTGAAATGAGAGCTTTTCTGAGACTAAATGACACAAAATCTACTACAGTGTGAATGTGATGCTAATGCTACTCTGATTTAATGATGCTATTAATATGAAGGTTATTACCACTAACAACACTTGGGACAATAGAGACTTTGTCTCATTCTGTTGTTACTGGAATAACTGGAAAACATCGGAGCAATATTTTTAAGAAGCTTTTGCCTTAACTTTCTTAATAATGAACTGATATCATTTTGATGAATTAAATTGCATAACCGACGCATGCAAATGACCCAATGATATATATCTGATATATATGGCTTTGTATGCTGCCACTGTGCCTGTCTCTATCTCTCCCCCATGGCCGCGCTGACCCGTGCATGTGTCTGTCCAGGTGACAGCAGCTGTGGAGGGGGTAATGACGCCCAGAAGGGATCGGGTGGGTAACTAATGTTTTTCAACCACCAGAAAAAAATAAAGGAAGTGTAGAAAAACTGGTGGAGAGAAGCAATGTGTTACAGGGGAAAGAAATACTTTGAGAAATGAATAAAGCTGTTGTTTAAATATCAATGGAAGTTAGGAGAAATGCATTTATAATGAATATATTTTACCAGCAGATGGTGCTGTGCAAAGACCACAGCTCTAATGCTCTAGTTCAAGACAAGATCATCTTATCCTGGTGTTTATATCTTAACTATTTCTACATATTTTTATCAAACCATTAGATATTCTATGGAAGAAAAAAATATATTTTAACTAGTATCTATGCATGTATAACATTCAAAAGTAAGGGGTTAGGATCACATTGACTTACTTGAAATACCATTTAGGTTTCGTTGATGTGTTACTTATTACTCTTCAAGATGAAAACTAGTCATTTAATGTAATAACTGCACGAGTCTGCACATCATCAAATTCACTCTTGTGTCTAATGGTTCATAGTGTCAAAAGGATAATTGATGATTAGAAAACCTTTGTGCAGTGACGTAGCCGTTCTATAAGTTAGTTGATAGCATTCATTGATTTTATTTCACTTTACAGTTTTCATTTCATATTCACTATGCAAATAATGAATGAAGCTTTGATATTTCAGTAAAAACATCTAATAATCTTCACGACCCCAAACCTTTGGATACTATACACATAATGTTACCCTGTTATTTCAATAGACGATAAAATTCCGGGCAGATTTGAAAGATTGTTTATGTACAGTCATGTATTGAGGCCAAGGCCAATGGAAGAGCTTCACTCCCTGGGCTTTAGGGACTCCATTTGGCCACGTCTGATCATGAGTGACATAAACAGTAGTCTCATTACTATATAAACATCTATATTTCTTTATTACTTAACTGAATTCTCTTTATGCACAGCCACATTAGAGACATGTCCCTCTCACTGCCACCAATCAAAGCTTCACAATCCTGGCGCATGCTTTCAAGTCCTGCCTGCTGAGCTTTTTAACCAGCGTCATGAAGGAAAACCTAAACATCATTTTACACATTTGGAGTTGATCTTCTGCATTGGAATCATTTTTTTCCCACTAACTGCATTAAAACTAGACAAATCCATCAATTAACACAAAGTATGAATGGACTCAGACAATCAATGCAAGAGACAATCAATGTGTTTTCTCATTTGAATTCAATGGTAGGACTATTGTTATTAGAAATGTTAAGACTACTGTGTGAACTGTAAGTATGTTTTTTATTCAGAATAGATATCAGAGGTGGGTAGAACTCATTTGGAAAGCTCATTGAGTTACTTTTTTAATTATTTTGCTGTTTTTTTCACACCATGTCTTTTGCATAAGCCCTGTTTTAGTGATGAAAACACAGCCTGGTAGAATTATAATTATATATACTAATTATAAATCATGGATCCAGAGAGAGATAAGGTTCTTCTATTGGAAGCTTAATCATTAATTCTTTGACTACTCCTTTCCATACCTAAAGATACTGAAAAAAGTTAAGAATCATGTCAATCATTTAGAAATTAGAAACTTTATCACTCTACGTATAACGAATATAATATTTGCGAAAAGGGCTCGAGCCTCTTCCCACCTCTGATCAATATTATTTTTGTTTATATACATTTATTGTGGATATTCAGAGCTTATGTTGTTATGTATTTTCCATTGTCTTTGTCCAAATGTGATTTCTAACTTGTCCTGACCGCAACTAGGCACCAACCTGCCCTGCACTATCCCCGGCGAGCCTGGAGAGCCCGGTTATAATGGCATCCCGGGTCGACCAGGTAACGACACAAAACCTCTGAGTTTATTTATATGACACTGTTATTTCTGTTTTTTATCTATTCATCTTTTCATATTTGGAGAGGCTTTTTTAAAGAAAGTATGACATTTTGAAAGTGCATTGTATGTTTTGCAGCAACGTGGTTTTCAGACGCCTCATTTGCACAACATACAGTAACTGAGTTTTTGTGTTGTTGTTAAAGTGAAGAAATAAAGAAGATAGAAAGTGTTTTACTTGCGTTTTTCCTGCAGATTTTTTACTTTAATAAGATTTCACTCAAGCTGTTTTTTTTATAAATGTAACTTGGAAAATCATCCCAATAATATTTTTTTGTATAGCTCTAAATCACAACAACAGTCGCCTCTGAGGACCTTACAATGTCGTCGATTCCCAAACCGCAGATCAGAGAATCCATCCATCCAATGTATTCCGCTTTATCCATAGCAGGGTCACACGTTTAGAATGTGTTACCTGCAGTCTTACTGATCTTGCACTGATCCCAGGTGGAAAGGGGCTGCCAGGTCCCAATGGAAACTCAGGTCGTCCTGGTTTTAACGGAGCCAAAGGAGAAAGAGGAGATCCAGGTTATGGAGGCCAACAAGGACTGCAAGGTAAAAAAAAGGTCTAAAAAGTATAATAGTAAACTTACAGGTGAATAACTTTAAAGGACTCCAAGATTACTCCAAGACCATCATTCAAATTCAACAAAATTTAACCTACAATAAATGAATATATCGTTTGGCTCAAATCTTTGCTTTTCCAATATGAAAAATTGACACAGTCAAGTTGATTATTAAGAATTGGATTATTGGAATTTGGTTAAAGATTTTTAAATTTGAATTCCAGTTTGGGCATATGTTATCATACAATTTAACTTGTGGTTGTGATTGATGACTTGACCAAAAGAATGGAGAAAAAGAAAAAAACTGGGCCAAAATTCAGATAAAATGTTTGATAACAATATTACCATGTATTATGACACAAATATGCTTTGATTTAGTGTAGAGCCAAAACGTTTTTAATCTTTATCATGTAGGCATCTCCCACTTGTGATCAAGAGTTGAAGAACACTGCACTACTACTACTGCACATATATGTGCATGTGTCAGAAATGTCCTCACAAACTGCCGCTTTATTAGTGTAAAATTATTATTTGCATCTGAAACATAGATGTTGCTCTTCATGTGCAGGTTTCCCTGGACCCAGAGGGGACCCTGGACTCCCAGGTGTGCCAGGGACCAGTTCAGATGGAGAGCGCGGGAAGAATGGTGTGCCTGGTATTCCTGGAGCAAAGGGCCAGCCTGGAGAGGTGCTGGGGGCCACTCCTGGGACCCCTGGATCCAACGGCTTTCCTGGGCCCCCTGGAGACAAGGGGCAGCCTGGCACTCCTGGAGGACCTGGTGCACCTGGTATGTTTTTACTACTTCCACTGGTGCAGCTTAGAGCAATGGGACCATTTTTTGACGAACTATACACTATTCTACTGCCATTCGAGCGTGACAGTTTTTGGTTTTTTTCCTTTAACAAATATAAAACACATATGCTCAAAAAAAGCAAAAATAATATATGTTGTTGAAGTGTTAGTTAAGGACTCTCTCAGAGCCTTGGCTTTCAGCTCCCCCTGCAATTGCGACATTTTGAACCAGGCTCTTGAGCTGTTTTCATTCATGGAAGGTTTCACAGTCAGGACTCGCAGACCATGTCAAAATGCAAAGATGTCAGCCTGCATCCTGACCACTGACCACAATAATCACAAATAATGCTTGCTGATTCTTTCATTTACTTTCATTCACACCTGTCCTTCCCCTCAGGTGTGGATGGTCGAATGGTTTCCCCCCCCGGGTTAAAGGGGGAGCGAGGAGTGGATGGAGCTCCAGGTTTCCCTGGCGCTGAGGACCTCCAGGAGAATACACCGGCGGAGTCCCAGGACGCAGAGGAGACCCAGGTCCCAAAGGAAACTGAGCGGACCCCCAGGTGAGAGCGAGAGAGAGACCTTCTCGGGAAATGAAACCATAATAACCGTGTTACAGTATCTAAGACCAAACTTGTGTTGTAATAAACTTGTGCTTTTAATTATACTATTTAGACCTGCAATGGTGTGATGTTATTGTACCAGTAAACGACATAACACAGTATTGCCCCCACATTAGTTTTGGTAAATTCTCCAAGTGAAACTATGTCTTTGTAGCCGGTCAGTTAAAACAAACTAACGAACACCATCCCTCCCTCTGGAGCCCTCCCTCTGGTGGTAGCATAGGGAGTTACAGGTGGAAAGCATTTGTTTACCTTTCATACTTGTTACCATACATGTTTCTACTTTTTTACGATATGATTTCACACATTTGGTAACATTTCACCGTCTCATGTTAAAAATGATAATAAACTCATTCTGTCTATAACGTATTTATTTTGTATTTTGAAACCCTAGTGTCCCCACGAGTCGACCATGTTTGTATCTCTCTCACTTCATGAATCTGCTCTTGTGTTTTTCTCTTCCATTTCCTTCTTCATCCTCCATTCATTGTTATGTTTGTGGTGTGGGTCATTCAGGCTGTCCAGGTGAGACATCCATCCAAGCTTCTTCCCTTCTGCTGCTTCCAAAGATTAACACTTTTTTATCACTTTTAAAATGTCCATCTTAGCCAATGTCAAATTTTTATCACACCGCGTCGGTTGTTCAGGGGTGATGTTGGCTACAAATGGACATTTTTGCAAACTGTGTTCAATTCTAATCAATTTCTGCAATTGCTTTTTGAGAATAAACACAGCTACCTGCGAAATAAGAGAAAATGCCATTCAATTTCCAGCACATCCATGATAAATAATCCTTCCTTAGTTTCAAAATGATAAGAATGTAAGAAGATCATATGTAAATAATAATAAAAAATAAACAAATACATTGTTTGTGATGTGTTGAAAATGGCGGACAATATGAAACATTGATAATAGCTTGCATCAAGCCAAATACATCTACAGCTTTTTAATATGGCTATATCAATCTGCTGTTGTCTTTCAAGAACCTCTGCCATTAGTGGAATTTGAGGCTTTATTTGCTTTATTATGTCAGTGCTAAATGTCATTATTTTGTATGCAATGCAGATATCAAAGACTATTGAGCAATGTAATGTTATTACATAAGAACTCATGTCTTTGTCAAAGCGTGTGCTTTTTAGCTCAGGTACACTGCATAGGTTTTCTGTTTGGTGGGTCAGCCATCTCGGTGCCTATAGCAGTGGTTCCCAACCAGAGGTAATAACATTATTTTAAAAACTTTCCAAACATTGATTGTAAGAGGTTAATGATGAGCCGCTATGGCATGTTTTACACCATTTCAAAGGTAATTCTCTCAAGATAACCAACATATCATTTATTCTCTCTGTCAGTCTGTAATAATAAGCTTTTTTTGTAATACTTTTGATTCTGTTTTGATTCATTCCAAGCATGAACTTCGTTTTCCTTCAGAAATATTCGAAACTCAAGTTGAATAAAAGCATATAATTTGGTCACAATTGAATAAACTAATACAATTATTAAGCATAATTCAAAGAAATGAGAAAACTAATAAAACTTTGGAGACCTGGACACAGTAAATACAGGTGTAGCCTTTTAAATAAGTTTAGACACCTGGGGTACGTGAAATATTTCCCCTAACTACAGGGGGGTACTTACACTGGTCAGGTTATACACAGGCACACAAGTTTGGGAACCACTGGCTTATAGTCCTGTCGACAGTATGGCATTAAATTATCTCTAAAGAAACTATTTACCTACATTTTACATCCATTTTACTGCTACAAACCACCTGGACCTTCATCGAGAATCTGATGGGTTAATGCCATACTGTGGGTCCATGACAACAAACGGTAAATAACGCAGTGCAACATGGTGGGGACCTTCATGACCGTTGAATAATGTTCTGCAGGTTTCCCTGGGCGCAAAGGAGAGAGAGGAGACCCAGGGTTCCACGGCCCCGCAGGCATGAAGGGATCCCCAGGTCTGCCAGGAAATCCCCAGGGACTCCTGGACTCCTCCAGGACCCCCCTCCCGGACTCGCAGGACCAGGCACCGTACCTGGCCGTCCTGGAATACCTGGCATCAAGGGTACAGTATTGTTTTTTATCTTCAAAAACCTAAGAAAATCATCACCAAATGTTCTTCTCCCCACTGACACTGATGATCACATCCTTTAAAGTAATATTAGTTCAATCCCACGTCAAACACTTGTTTGTCCACAATCAAAACTCCATGGAAATACAGTGGCTAAATACATAAGTATTTAGTTTAACAAAAGTGTAAAAAATCTAACTGAGTTTGAGCTGGTTTGCAAAAAAGAATGGAAAAACTTACTTTTGCACGCCCCAAAATGACAAAATCATGTATATATTTCACTTCATGTTAGCATGTTCCTTTTTCTTTCACATGAAATTTCAATCAAATATATTTATGTTTGAGGTCCTAGCATGGTAGTTGAAGGGGGGCGGCTGCTTGTGCCACTCACTCTAAATACGTCTTACTGGCCTTCGAATCGTCAACTTCCAGAGTGGTAGAGTCCATCTTTAGCTGCACAGCCTGTTGAAAGGGTCGTTAGATGCCGCTTGCTGCCTTAAAAATAATTATGTTTTGTTCTTTTTAGGTGAGAGAGGTTTCCCAGAGTCTTACAGGCTTCCCCGGTCAGCCTGGTCGTCCCGGATCGCCTGGTTTTCCAGGTGGAAAGGGATTCCCAGGAGACCCAGGGAAGAAACGGACTGCCCGGCGGTCCTGTATTCCCTGGACAGAAAGGTAATTTTGTTTTGGTTAATTACTATGATGTTATTATTGTTGTTAAGTCCTTGTTAAAAAAAGAGTTTACGCTTGTGTTAGCAATGGGTCAGTCTTTGTGTGGGTCCTGTTCTAGTCCTGGTTTTATCATAATCTGAATGTCATTTATGTGTAATTATTTTCAACTGTGATGTCTGAGGTTTTTAATGAGCTAAACCTGTTGAGCACACTGGTTTAAGAAGAAGACGAAGATGAAAATTTTATATTTCAGTTCGATTAATACACATATACACATCAAGGCATGCAAAGCGTACAATTACTTCCGCACATCCTTATAGGCAAAGTGGGGTTAAGTGTCTTGCCAAAGAACACACTGACAACAGACATCAGTGGGAGTCTTCAGGCTTAAAGACCAATGCTTTACCAACTGAGCCACTGTCACTGTCGTTTAGATCTGTAATATTTCAGATTCACCTTATTCAGTCCTGGAGTCCTGAAGTCAGCATCAGGAAGAAATACTTTTTGGGGATTTTTATATTTGACAATCCAGCACAAAGGCTTTTACTTTTGTTGCTGAGATTCACTCTTCTATGTTCAAACTTATGATGTTGATTCTGCCACACAATTATAGCCCTACTTTAATCTTTTTGCTCAGGGGAGAGAGGGTACCCCGGCAACCCTGGTCGTCCTGGTATTGCACCACAGGTTCTTGTGACAAAAGGAGACCTATGGAAACCCTGGCATCAGCGGCTTACCAGGATTCACTGGACAAAGAGGTAATTACTCCCAAGATTCTGATCACACAATCTCCAAAAGAACTAAATTAAACCATAGTTGATATGTGCTGACAAAGAAGATGTTCTTTTCAGCAGCCCTCCATCACAGTTATAAATTATAGGCTCTGTGCAATGTTATGAAGTCACATTCACATGTTATAACATTAAAACGATACTAAACCCTTTCATATTTGTGCAGGTGACAAAGGTCTGCCGGGTTTGCCTGGGCGTCAGGGTTTACCAGGACTGCCCGGTTTCGCAGAGCAGAGTAAAGGTCTTCCAGAGTTCCCGGTTTCCCTGGGAGACCGGGAACACCAGGATACCCCGGACCAAAGGGAGAGGCTGGCATCAACGGGTTTCCTGGAGGATCTGCCACCGAGGGTACGTCACATAAAGTGTGATTTCTTACCATGGAGATGCTTAACTGCATTTCAGTATCATTATCTGGCAATAACAGAATACACTTCTAAGATAAGTATATATTAGTATATAATAAATCAAATCTTTTTTAGATTATTTTAATGTTTAACATTGATCCTCACCACCAAACAAATAATTTATTTTAAAAGATCTGGTGATACATTACTCTACTGGTGGATTAACTAGGAGCAGAAGACTTTTCTAAATGGAGTTTGCAAAGGTCCTGACCAAAAGCCTAGCATCAACCTCTGTACTACGTTGTACTGCCACCGGACACTCTGCTCCTGACAGAAGCCCCAGTGACATTACAGTATGGGTCTAATGCACAGGGCAAATAATGGAATATATAAGATAACTCCCCAATACAATGGAACTGATATTACCCATCCATCCAATCTCACCTGGAAATGCGACTTCTCCAGGCTGTCCCTTGGGTCCGGGGCTTCCAGGATAACCACCATAAGTATCTCCGGGAAGACCTGAAGGAAATTAAACAAGCTTTATGTCACTTTGTTTTGGTCTTTGTTATAATCCAATAGTTTAAATGTTAGAAGAACTTACCTTTAGCACCAGGACGACCAGGCTCTCCGGGATTACCAGGCAAACCAGGAACACCATCGTCACCCTAAGGACCCATAGGCAGAGACCACAGTCAAGATAATGCACCATTTAAAATATATATAGCTTTTGCGTAAAATGAAAATATGTAATATCAGTGGGGCGACAGTGGCTCAGTTGGAAGAGCATTGGCCTTTGAGCCTGAAGGTTGTAGGTTCGAGCCCATCATGTGACCTACTTCACAATTCCCATTTATGTCTGCAGTCGTTGTGTCCTTGGGCAAGACAATTAATCCCACTTTGCCTGAAGCCCCCGCTGAAAGATCAAGGCTCCTGTGGACTCACCACCTGCAGGAGGATCAGTGAGGGGCTGGTGCTGTGTGGACTGGGTGCAGCTCTGACTGCCACCCATCCAACCCAGAAATGGATTAAGGGGAAAAAGATGGATGGATGGGTAATATCAGTTCCATTGTATTGGGGAGTTATCTTATATATTCCATTATTTGCCCTGTGCATTAGACCCATCCTGTAATGTCACTGGGGCTTCTGTCAGGAGCAGTGGTCGGTGGCAGTACAACGTAGTACAGAGGTTGATGCTAGGCTTGGTCAGGACCTTTGCAAACTCCATTTAGAAAAGTCCTGCTCCTAGTTAATCCACCAGTAGAGTAATGTATCACCAGATCTTTTAAAATAAATTATTTGTTTGGTGGTGAGGATCAATGTTAAACATTAAAATAATCTAAAAAAGATTTGATTTATTATATACTAATATATACTAATCTAGAAGTGTATTCTGATATTGCCAGATAATGATACTGAAATGCAGTTAAGCATCTCCATGGTAAGAAATCACACTTTATGTGACGTACCCTCGGTGCAGATCCTCCAGGAAACCCGTTGATGCCAGCCTCTCCCTTTGGTCCGGGGTATCCTGGTGTTCCCGGTCTCCCAGGGAAACCGGGAACTCCTGGAAGACCTTTACTCTGCTCTGCGAAACCGGGCAGTCCTGGTAAACCCTGACGCCCAGGCAAACCCGGCAGACCTTTGTCACCTGCACAAATATGAAAGGGTTTAGTATCGTTTTAATGTTATAACATGTGAATGTGACTTCATAACATTGCACAGAGCCTATAATTTATAACTGTGCTGGAGGGCTGCTGAAAAGAACATCTTCTTTGTCAGCACATATCAACTATGGTTTAATTTAGTTTCTTTTGGAGATTGTGTGATCAGAATCTTGGGAGTAATTACCTCTTTGTCCAGTGAATCCTGGTAAGCCGCTGATGCCAGGGTTTCCATAGTCTCCTTTTGTCACAAGAACCTGTGGTGCAATACCAGGACGACCAGGGTTGCCGGGGTACCCTCTCTCCCCTGAGCAAAAGATTAAAGTAGGGCTATAATTGTGTGGCAGAATCAACATCATAAGTTTGAACATAGAAGAGTGAATCTCAGCAACAAAAGTAAAAGCCTTTGTGCTGGATTGTCAAATATAAAAAATCCCCCAAAAGTATTTCTTCCTGATGCTGACTTCAGGACTCCAGGACTGAATAAGGTGAATCTGAAATATTACAGATCTAAACGACAGTGACAGTGGCTCAGTTGGTAAAGCATTGGTCTTTAAGCCTGAAGACTCCCACTGATGTCTGTTGTCAGTGTGTTCTTTGGCAAGACACTTAACCCCACTTTGCCTATAAGGAGTGCGGAAGTAATTGTACGCTGCATGCCTTGATGTGTATATGTGTATTAATCGAACTGAAATATACAATTTTCATCTTCGTCTTCTTCTTAAACCAGTGTGCTCAACAGGTTTAGCTCATTAAAAACCTCAGAATCACAGTTGAAAATAATTACACATAAATGATATTCAGATTATGATAAAACCAGGACTAGAACAGGACCCACACAAAGACTGACCCATGCTAACACAAGCGTAAACTCTTTTTTTAACAAGGACTTAACAACAATAATAACATCAAGTAATTAACCAAAACAAAATTACCTTTCTGTCCAGGGAATCCAGGACCGCCGGGCAGTCCGTTTCTTCCTGGGTCTCCTGGGAATCCCTTTCCACCTGGAAAACCAGGCGATCCGGGACGACCAGGCTGACCGGGGAAGCCTGTAAGACCTGGGAAACCTCTCTCACCTAAAGAACAAAACATAATTATTTTTAAGGCAGCAAGCGGCATCTAACGACCCTTTCAACAGGCTGTGCAGCTAAAGATGGACTCTACCACTCTGGAAGTTGACGATTCGAAGGCCAGTAAGACGTATTTAGAGTGAGTGGCACAAGCAGCCGCCCCCCTTCAACTACCATGCTAGGACCTCAAACATAAATATATTTGATTGAAATTTCATGTGAAAGAAAAAGGAACATGCTATCATGAAGTGAAATATATACATGATTTTGTCATTTTGGGGCGTGCAAAAGTAAGTTTTTCCATTCTTTTTTGCAAACCAGCTCAAACTCAGTTAGATTATACACTTGTTTCCATGGAGTTTTGATTGTGGACAAACAAGTGTTTGACGTGGGATTGAACTAATATTACTTTAAAGGATGTGATCATCAGTGTCAGTGGGGAGAAGAACATTTGGTGATGATTTTCTTAGGTTTTTGAAGATAAAACAATACTGTACCCTTGATGCCAGGTATTCCAGGACGGCCAGGTACGGTGCCTGGTCCTGCGAGTCCGGGGGGTCCTGGGAGTCCAGGAGTCCCGGGGATTCCTGGCAGACCTGGGGATCCCTTCATGCCTGCGGGGCCGTGGAACCCTGGGTCTCCTCTCTCTCCTTTGCGCCCAGGGAAACCTGCAGAACATTATTCAACGGTCATGAAGGTCCCACCATGTTGCACTGCGTATTTACCGTTTGTTGTCATGGACCCACAGTATGGCATTAACCCATCAGATTCTCGATGAAGGTCCAGGTGGTTTGTAGCAGTAAAATGGATGTAAAATGTAGGTAAATAGTTTCTTTAGAGATAATTTAATGCCATACTGTGACAGACTATAAGCCAGTGGTTCCCAAACTTGTGTGCCCTGTGTATAACCTGACCAGTGTAAGTACCCCCTGTAGTTAGGGGAAATATTTCACGTACCCCAGGTGTCAAACTTATTTAAAAGGCTACACCTGTATTTACTGTGTCCAGGTCTCCAAAGTTTTATTAGTTTTCTCATTCTTTGAATTATGATAATAATTGTATTAGTTTATTCAATTGTGACCAAATTATTGCTTTTATTCAACTTGAGTTTCGAATATTTCTGAAGAAAACGAGTTCATGCTTGGAATGAATCAAAACAGAATCAAAAGTATTACAAAAAAGCTTATTATTACAGACTGACAGAGAGAATAAATGATATGTTGGTTATCTTGAGAGAATTACCTTTGAAATGGTGTAAAACATGCCATAGCGGCTCATCATAACCTCTTACAATCAATGTTTGAAAGTTTTTAAAATAATGTTATTACCTCTGGTTGGGAACCACTGCTATAGGCACCGAGATGGCTGACCCACAAACAGAAAACCTATGCAGTGTACCTGAGCTAAAAAGCACACGCTTTGACAAAGACATGAGTTCTTATGTAATAACATTACATTGCTCAATAGTCTTTGATATCTGCATTGCATACAAAATAATGACATTTAGCACTGACATAATAAAGCAAATAAAGCCTCAAATTCCACTAATGGCAGAGGTTCTTGAAAGACAACAGCAGATTGATATAGCCATATTAAAAAGCTGTAGATGTATTTGGCTTGATGCAAGCTATTATCAATGTTTCATATTGTCAGCCATTTTCAACACATCACAAACAATGTATTTGTTTATTTTTATTATTATTTACATATGATCTTCTTACATTCTTATCATTTTGAAAATAAGGAAGGATTATTTATCATGGATGTGCTGGAAATTGAATGGCATTTTCTCTTATTTCGCAGGTAGCTGTGTTTATTCTCAAAAGCAATTGCAGAAATTGATTAGAATTGACACACAGTTTGCAAAAATGTCCATTTGTAGCCAACATCACCCCTGAACAACCGACGCGGTGTGATAAAAATTTGACATTGGCTAAGATGGACATTTTAAAAGTGATAAAAAAGTGTTAATCTTTGGAAGCAGCAGAAGGGAAGAAGCTTGGATGGATGTCTCACCTGGACAGCCTGAATGACCCAACACCACAAACATAACAATGAATGGAGGATGAAGAAGGAAATGGAAGAGAAAAACACAAGAGCAGATTCATGAAGTGAGAGAGATACAAAATGGTCGACTCGTGGGGACACTAGGGTTTCAAAATACAAAATAAATACGTTATAGACAGAATGAGTTTATTATCATTTTTAACATGAGACGGTGAAATGTTACAAAATGTGAAATCATATCGTAAAAAAGTAGAAAATGTATGGTAACAAGTATGAAAGGTAAACAAATGCTTTCCACCTGTAACTCCCTATGCTACCACCAGAGGGAGGGCACCAGAGGGAGGGATGGTGTTCGTTAGTTTGTTTTAACTACCGGCTACAAAGACATAGTTTCACTTGAGAATTTACCAAAACTAATGTGGGGGCAATACTGTGTTATGTCGTACTGGTACAATAACATCACACCATTGCAGGTCTAAATAGTATAATTAAAAGCACAAGTTTATTACAACACAAGTTTGGTCTTAGATACTGTAACAAGGTTATTATGGTTTCATTTCCAGAGAAGGTCTCTCTCTCGCTCTCACCTGGGGGTCCGCTCAGTCCTTTGGGACCTGGGTCTCCTCTGCGTCCTGGGACTCCGCCGGTGTATTCTCCTGGAGGTCCCTCAGCGCCAGGGAAACCTGGAGCTCCATCCACTCCTCGCTCCCCCTTTAACCCGGGGAAACCATTTCGACCATCCACACCTGAGGGGAAGGACAGGTGTGAATGAAAGTAAATGAAAGAATCAGCAAGCATTATTTGTGATTATTGTGGTCAGTGGTCAGGATGCAGGCTGACATCTTTGCATTTTGACATGAGTCTGCGAGTCCTGACTGTGAAACCTTCCATGAATGAAAACAGCTCAAGAGCCTGGTTCAAAATGTCGCAATTGCAGGGGGAGCTGAAAGCCAAGGCTCTGAGAGAGTCCTTAACTAACACTTCAACAACATATATTATTTTTGCTTTTTTTGAGCATATGTGTTTTATATTTGTTAAAGGAAAAAAACCAAAAACTGTCACGCTCGAATGGCAGTAGAATAGTGTATAGTTCGTCAAAAAATGGTCCCATTGCTCTAAGCTGCACCAGTGGAAGTAGTAAAAACATACCAGGTGCACCAGGTCCTCCAGGAGTGCCAGGCTGCCCCTTGTCTCCAGGGGGCCCAGGAAAGCCGTTGGATCCAGGGGTCCCAGGAGTGGCCCCCAGCACCTCTCCAGGCTGGCCCTTTGCTCCAGGAATACCAGGCACACCATTCTTCCCGCGCTCTCCATCTGAACTGGTCCCTGGCACACCTGGGAGTCCAGGGTCCCCTCTGGGTCCAGGGAAACCTGCACATGAAGAGCAACATCTATGTTTCAGATGCAAATAATAATTTTACACTAATAAAGCGGCAGTTTGTGAGGACATTTCTGACACATGCACATATATGTGCAGTAGTAGTAGTGCAGTGTTCTTCAACTCTTGATCACAAGTGGGAGATGCCTACATGATAAAGATTAAAAACGTTTTGGCTCTACACTAAATCAAAGCATATTTGTGTCATAATACATGGTAATATTGTTATCAAACATTTTTATCTGAATTTTGGCCCAGTTTTTTTCTTTTTCTCCATTCTTTTGGTCAAGTCATCAATCACAACCACAAGTTAAATTGTATGATAACATATGCCCAAACTGGAATTCAAATTTAAAAATCTTTAACCAAATTCCAATAATCCAATTCTTAATAATCAACTTGACTGTGTCAATTTTTCATATTGGAAAAAGCAAAGATTTGAGCCAAACGATATATTCATTTATTGTAGGTTAAATTTTGTTGAATTTGAATGATGGTCTTGGAGTAATCTTGGAGTCCTTTAAAGTTATTCACCTGTAAGTTTACTATTATACTTTTTAGACCTTGTATTTTACCTTGCAGTCCTTGTTGGCCTCCATAACCTGGATCTCCTCTTTCTCCTTTGGCTCCGTTAAAACCAGGACGACCTGAGTTTCCATTGGGACCTGGCAGCCCCTTTCCACCTGGGATCAGTGCAAGATCAGTAAGACTGCAGGTAACACATTCTAAACGTGTGACCCTGCTATGGATAAAGCGGAATACATTGGATGGATGGATTCTCTGATCTGCGGTTTGGGAATCGACGACATTGTAAGGTCCTCAGAGGCGACTGTTGTTGTGATTTAGAGCTATACAAAAAAATATTATTGGGATGATTTTCCAAGTTACATTTATAAAAAAAACAGCTTGAGTGAAATCTTATTAAAGTAAAAAATCTGCAGGAAAAACGCAAGTAAAACACTTTCTATCTTCTTTATTTCTTCACTTTAACAACAACACAAAAACTCAGTTACTGTATGTTGTGCAAATGAGGCGTCTGAAAACCACGTTGCTGCAAAACATACAATGCACTTTCAAAATGTCATACTTTCTTTAAAAAAGCCTCTCCAAATATGAAAAGATGAATAGATAAAAAACAGAAATAACAGTGTCATATAAATAAACTCAGAGGTTTTGTGTCGTTACCTGGTCGACCCGGGATGCCATTATAACCGGGCTCTCCAGGCTCGCCGGGGATAGTGCAGGGCAGGTTGGTGCCTAGTTGCGGTCAGGACAAGTTAGAAATCACATTTGGACAAAGACAATGGAAAATACATAACAACATAAGCTCTGAATATCCACAATAAATGTATATAAACAAAAATAATATTGATCAGAGGTGGGAAGAGGCTCGAGCCCTTTTCGCAAATATATATTCGTTATACGTAGAGTGATAAAGTTTCTAATTTCTAAATGATTGACATGATTCTTAACTTTTTTCAGTATCTTTAGGTATGGAAAGGAGTAGTCAAAGAATTAATGATTAAGCTTCCAATAGAAGAACCTTATCTCTCTCTGGATCCATGATTTATAATTAGTATATATAATTATAATTCTACCAGGCTGTGTTTTCATCACTAAAACAGGGCTTATGCAAAAGACATGGTGTGAAAAAAACAGCAAAATAATTAAAAAAGTAACTCAATGAGCTTTCCAAATGAGTTCTACCCACCTCTGATATCTATTCTGAATAAAAAACATACTTACAGTTCACACAGTAGTCTTAACATTTCTAATAACAATAGTCCTACCATTGAATTCAAATGAGAAAACACATTGATTGTCTCTTGCATTGATTGTCTGAGTCCATTCATACTTTGTGTTAATTGATGGATAATGCAGTTAGTGTTAAGAAGATCAACTCCAAATGTGTAAAATGGTTTATTTTCCTTCATGTGGTTAAAAAGCTCAGCTAAAGCATGCGCCAGGATTGTAAGCTTTGATGGTGGCAGTGAGAGGGACATGTCTCTAATGTGTGCATAAAGGACATTCAAAAAAAAGAAATATAGATGTTTATATAGTAATGCAGTTTAAGTCACTCATGATCAGACGTGGCCAAATGGAGTCCCTAAAGCCCAGGGAGTGAAGCTCTTCCATTGGCCTTGGCCTCAATACATGACTGTACATAAACAATCTTTCAAATCTGCCCCGGAATTTTATCGTCTATTGAAATAACAGGGTAACATTATGTGTATAGTATCCAAAGGTTTGGGGTCGTGAAATTATTAGATGTTTTTACTGAAATATCAAAGCTTCATTCATTATTTGCATAGTGAATATGAAATGAAAACTGTAAAGTGAAATAAAATCAATGAATGCTATCAACTAACTTATAGAACGGCTACGTCACTGCACAAAGGTTTTCTAATCATCAATTATCCTTTTGACACTATGAACCATTAGACACAAGAGTGAATTTGATGATGTGCAGACTCGTGCATATTACATTAAATGACTAGTTTTCATCTTGAAGAGTAATAAGTAACACATCAACGAAACCTAAATGGTATTTCAAGGTAAGTCAATGTGATGAAAAAAAATGTAGAAATACTAATTTTTCAATAATAAGGACAGTTTTATGTGACCCCTTACTTTTGAATGTTATACATTGCATAGATACTAGTTAAAATATATTTTTTTCTTCCATAGAATATCTAATGGTTTGATAAAAATATGTAGAAATAGTTAAGATATAAACACCAGGATAAGATGATCTTGTCTTGAACTAGAGCATTAGAGCTGTGGTCTTTGCACAGCACCATCTGCTGGTAAAATATATTCATTATAAATGCATTTCTCCTAACTTCCATTGATATTTAAACAACAGCTTTATTCATTTCTCAAAGTATTTCTTTCCCCTGTAACACATTGCTTCTCTCCACCAGTTTTTCTACACTTCCTTTATTTTTTTCTGGTGGTTGAAAAACATTAGTTACCCACCCGATCCCTTCTGGGCGTCATTACCCCCTCCACAGCTGCTGTCACCTGGACAGACACATGCACGGGTCAGCGCGGCCATGGGGGAGAGATAGAGACAGGCACAGTGGCAGCATACAAAGCCATATATATCAGATATATATCATTGGGTCATTTGCATGCGTCGGTTATGCAATTTAATTCATCAAAATGATATCAGTTCATTATTAAGAAAGTTAAGGCAAAAGCTTCTTAAAAATATTGCTCCGATGTTTTCCAGTTATTCCAGTAACAACAGAATGAGACAAAGTCTCTATTGTCCCAAGTGTTGTTAGTGGTAATAACCTTCATATTAATAGCATCATTAAATCAGAGTAGCATTAGCATCACATTCACACTGTAGTAGATTTTGTGTCATTTAGTCTCAGAAAAGCTCTCATTTCAGTTCAATAAAGAGTAAAGAGGTGATTATGTTGGACTGACCGAATCAATGGCCCCTTGAAGTTGTTTTTCTATATTTGTCAATCTTGTTATTTTACTTACATTAAAACAGCTAATTCTCAATTCAAATGAGGTATAAACAAGGAACTGAGCGTGGAAAAAGAAAAAGCATCTGGTTCCAATAGAAAAAGGTTAAATAATATAGGTTGCGTTCATGTTGTAGGATTATTAGAGAAGACATTTTTGAAATATTGAAAAAGAAAATGACCAAATGCTTGATAGTGATTCCATGCACAAAGCCTCCATATTATTCTTATGTCTGGAAGTCATTTTTAATGTCCAACATCATGTTTTTGAACATAGACATCTTGTAGTTGATATGTGCTGACAAAGAAGATGTGATACTTTGTGACAGTTTTTGTTTCATGTGGATTGGACCAAGGATTACAGAGGAATGTTCTAAAAATCTTGAAATATAAGATAAGATAAACCTTTATTAGTCTCAATAGACTAGAAATATGACAGTTACCATAGTTACGATTGATTTTTCAGCTGCCTTACATAAAACTATAGAATGTTGTGATGTCACAAGAACGCTACCTATAGAAGTGATTATATATATATATATATATTTAGGGCTGTCAAACAATTAAAATTCTAAATCGAGTTAATTACATCTTAAAAATTAATTAATCGTTATTAATCTCATTTCGAACTATCGGCAAAATTATGCCATATTTTGTTTGAATGGAAAGATAAATGACAACATAGTGTATGTAGAGGCCTGGAAATAGTCCAAGTAAAAATAGACACCCCTATAATTTTTATTTTTGTCATTTAATTATTTTATTTTCATATAAAACCTCATTTGGTTTACATACATCTCTTTTGCGTTAGATGTGGTCCCTACCCTTGACCACTAGATGGCGCATGACGCGTATTGATAGAGAATAGCTGAGGCATCGCAGAGGAAGAACAATCCTCTTGTGCTGAAGTAAAAAAACAGCTAAACGCATGTGCTCTCTATTCTTTTATCACAGGCAAGCTAGTACTTCGCACACACGCACGTATGCCCTCTGAACCCCAGAGGAGCAACAATTTTGGGGGCTCGTCCGGGATTAGCGCCACCTGCTGGACGGCACTAATCATTGAAGAACCAAGGGAAGCTGATCACCTGTTCCTGAGCCGATGACAACAGCGACAGAACCCAACTAACCAGAGATGGCTGTGCTACGTGACCTGAGATGGGAAATCCAGCAAGAGCTTCATCAGCTGACCAGTGCCCTAAGACAATAAACTCAAAGTGATTGGCTATGGCTCTCGAACTCTCACACCTGCCGAGAAAAATTACCACTTACATTCCGGTAAACTGGAGTTCTTAGCGCTCAAATGGGCCATCTGAGATAAATTCCGTGACTATCTGTACTACGCGCCGACCTTTACCGTCTATACAGATAACAATCCCTTAACCTATGTCCTCAGTTCAGCCAGGTTAAACGCAGTGGGTCATAGGTGGGTTGGGGAGTTGGCAGACTTCCATTTTGACATTAAGTATAGGCCGGGGAAAAGGAACGCAGATGCAGACATGTTATCCAGATACCCATTAGATCTCCAACAGCAAATGGGCGAGTACACAGAAACAGTTTTACCAGAAGTAGTGTTCGCAGTGTGGCAGGGTAGTAAGGCAGTCCAAAACAACGATGTACCCTGGGTAGCTGCGCTACAACTGAGTTCCAGTGAAAGTGAGTCAACAGAAAGTGTTTTGAGCATGACACCCAAAGACATTCAAACAGCTCAACAGGAAGATGACTCAATCAAAGAAGTGATCTCACTCAAACTCAAAAGATGGACACCTAACGACAAAGACAAACGGACAATGAGTAAACAAACAAGGAGACTACTGTATGAGTGGAACAAGTTGGAAGTTGACAATGGACTCTTGTACAGAAAAACGGAGCATAACAAACAACTTGTCCTCCCCGAACTGTTAAAACCAATGGTGTTAAAGAGCTTACACAACGATATGGGTCATGTTGGTTGCGATAAAGTGGTATATCTGGCACGTGAACGTTTTTATTGGCCGTATATGCAACAAGACATTGAAGATTATGTCACAAAGAAATGTCCGTGCATCAAACAAAAACGTCCAAACGTTCAGCAGAGAGCTCCTATGGGATCTATCACAACCAGTGCTCCTTTCGAGTTAGTCTCCATTGATTACTTACACCTTGAACCAAGTAAAGGAGGGTACGAGTACATTTTAGTACTTGAAGACCATTTTACTCGCTTCGCACAGGCGTACCCAACAAAGAATAAGTCAGGCAACACAGCTGCAGAAAAGATATTCCAAGACTTCATACCACGTTTCGGGTATCCAGAAAAGCTACATCATGATCAGGGACGTGAGTTTGAGAACAATCTATTCCAAAGATTACAACAACTGTCAGGAATTGCTCACTCACGAACTACACCATATCATCCGCAGTGCAACCCTGTGGAGCGCCTGAATCGTACACTACTCCAAATGCTTCGTACTCTACAGGAGGAGAAAAAAAGTGAATGGAAAGAGCATCTTCCGCAAATCGTCCATGCCTACAATTGCACGAGGCACGAGGCAACAGGATACTCGCCATTTTTCCTCTTGTACGGCAGAGCTCCGCGATTGCCAGTGGACCTACTTTTCAATCAAATAAACGAGACAGAGAAACACAACCATCAGACCTATGCTAAAAGGTGGGCTGATAGGATGCGTGTAGCTTACAAAATCGCCGCAGAGAACAGTCAAAAATCTTCAGGCAAAGGAAAAAAACAGTACGACAAACGCATCAAAGGTGTCACTCTCCAACCAGGTGACAGAGTGCTGGTTCGGAACCTCTCTGAAAGAGGAGGTTCGGGAAAATTGCGTGCGTACTGGGAATCAGAAGTACATCGCGTAGTCGAGAGAGTAGGCGATGGACCAGTCTATAAAGTACAAGCAGAAAGAGGCAGTAAAGTCATACGAGTGTTACACAGAAATCTGTTATTGCCAGTAAATGATTTGCCTTTGGAAGAAGAACTGCCTGTATGCAAAAAGTCGAAACAGAAAAGAGACAAAAGAACTGAAACAAATCCAGACGATGACAAAAGAGACAGTGATAGCTCGGAGGACGAGGAAGAGTACACTTATCGTTATAACCTCCGGAGCAACATTCCTGTATACAGACTTGTAAAATCTCAGCAAAATGCCCCAAGCCAAAACACTCAGCAACCAGAACCTGTCGTGCCCGTGCAAAATCCTCAAAACCAGCAAAGACTCAATGCCACAGCTAGAGAATTTCACCCTCCAGTGAGACAGGAACCTGTGTCCACACAGCAAGTTGCTGAGGAGCAAATGGTTGAACCAGCTTTGTTGCAGGAGGAACAAGGACAAATGGAGGAAATGGATGGAAATAATGGAGAACATGAGGAACCGAGAAGGTCACAGAGGAGAGCACAACCTGTGGAGAGACTTACTTATGACGCTCTGGGACAACCATCATCCCAGCCATGGATTGCAAACGTAAGACCTCTCTTTCTCCCAACTCATGTGCCAACAGTTCAGAACTTTATGCCATATCCATACCCCATCCAGCCCCAACCTTATGCTTATAACTGGTACACTCTTGTTAACTAAGTCATCCTAAAGCGTGAAATGTCGGGAGACATTTATTTTAAGTAGGGGAGAGTGTAGAGGCCTGGAAATAGTCCAAGTAAAAATAGACACCCCTATAATTTTTATTTTTGTCATTTAATTATTTTATTTTCATATAAAACCTCATTTGGTTTACATACATCTCTTTTGAGTTAGATGTGGTCCCTACCCTTGACCACTAGATGGCGCATGACGCGTATTGATAGAGAATAGCTGAGGCATCGCAGAGGAAGAACAATCCTCTTGTGCTGAAGTAAAAAAACAGCTAAACGCATGTGCTCTCTATTCTTTTATCACAGGTTGGTAACACTAAATGTTCGCAAAGTTTAGGTATATTATCCGAGTCATAAGGTGGTTATGGTAGAACTGTCAAGTGTGAAGGTAGCAGGAACGAAGTTTTGTACGTTTTTTTAGTAGAATTGTAATCGTGTTTAAGCTACCTGCTAAGCTAATGGTCAAGGGTAGGGGACTTACAACGCGGGGAAAAAGCAATATATACACAGAACCATTTGAGTATTATTAGGACATAGATGAAACGTTTTTCACTACAATGAGACACTTACTGGGTTTATTTTTATCACCAAGGTGTACATTAAAGGTTATGACCAAATACGAGTAATGCCATTGTACTACTGTATTAGATACAGAGTAGCCATTTTGTAGTTAAGGACATTGGCTTAGTTAATTATATATTAAGCACAGTGATTTCAGTAAAAGTATGTTTGCAGTTAAAAAGATAAATATTTGTACAGTTAAAAAGATAAATAGAAATAAAGATAAATATTGATTTATTTCATGGTAAGAATAATTAGTTAAAAAGGTAAAAAAAATATACATTAAAAAAAGGTTAAGACAATACATTTTGTATTTTATTTTTCTTACTTTTGGAGAAATTGTAATATTGTAATTGTCATATGTGATTAGTATAGCTTATTTAGCTACGGCCACATGGACTTTTGGACTCTTTGAAGGCCATTGAGAATAGTAATTGTATTTGGATCGCTGTTGTTGTTGATTGTAGAGGAAGAACAATCCTCTTGTGCTGAAGTAAAAAAACAGCTAAACGCATGTGCTCTCTATTCTTTTATCACAGGCAAGCTAGTACTTCGCACACACGCACGTATGCCCTCTGAACCCCAGAGGAGCAACATGTACAGTATTTGTTTATTATAACAATAAATCTACATAAAATGGCATTAACATTATTAACATTCTGTTTTTCTGTAGTACCACACTATTTTTTCAGCTCGACATATTCCGCATCTGCTAAAGCCTCCGCTTTCTTCTTTTTCTCTGTCTCATAAAGGCTGTGGATCCTCTCCATTATTGTGCCTCTACAAACTATTGTTTGTTACAGGGATGAGGGACATTTAAAAATAGTCTGAAATGCATGTCAGCCAATGGCTGTCACTAAATTTTTTTGATTTGCTCACAACATTTCATTTTTGGGCACAAACAACTTGAAATGGTAGTGCAAAGGAAAAAGTTAGGTACACCAGCTTTAATTTAGCGTCTTTTTTCGCTTTGGGAGAAGACACGGGGGAGACGGACTGTTTCTTGCAGCGCTGTTTTTGTTGTGTGCACTGGTCACGCCTGTGCGTGATCAGTGCACACAGTGGTCTTGTGCGTGTATATGGCCTTGGGTACATGGCCACGTTACGGCTGCACTCCTGTGTTGTTGAAAGCCGCTCACAGCTACTGGACGCGGGAACCGCTGTCCAAAGTGGCCGTGGCTGCCCCAGAACGCTGCGGACTCCCATTCACAGCAATATACTGTATTAGGGCTGCCAAACGATAACATTTTTTAATCGAGTTAATTACAGCTTAAAGATTAATTAATCATAATTAATGGCATTTCAAACTATCGGCAAAATGATGCCATATTTTTCTGTAAATGGTTGTTTGAATGGAAAGATAAATGACAACATAGTGTAAACACTATTTGTTTATTAGAACAATAAATCCATATAAAATGGCATTAACATTATTAACATTCTGTATTTCTGTTTAGACTCAGACCAAAACTATTGTTTGTTACAGATGAGGGACATTTAAAACAGTCTTAAATGCAGAATGCCAGTAAATCTGTCATGAACTGGTAGTGGAAGGGAAAATTAGGTACCCCAGCTTTAATAGTGCGCTTCGGGAGAAGACACGGAGGAGACGGAGGCTTCGTTGTCCAGCTTCTGCGCTGTATTTATTCTATGCACCGGTTACGCAAAGACACGCACATTGCAATCAGAGAATAGTTCTGAGTATGGTCTTGGATATGATCACGTTATGCGGCGCCGTTCGCCGTGATCACAGTCGCTGGAGGTGGGACCTGCTGTTCAGAGCACCCGCCGCTCAGCTCGCAGAGTTCATACAGGAAACAGCAGCGATCACGCGTGCATTCTTTTAAAACTTGAATTCCCAGAGACCTGCTCTGTCTCCAACACACACGTGTCCGTGCTATTCTGAGTGTTATTATGGGATGCATGGGCATGCGTTAACTGCGTTAATTTTTTTAACGCAATTGATGAAAAAAATTAATGAACGTGCGTTAACGCGATAATTTTGACAGCCCTACAATATATATTATCTTGAGTGCACATTTAGACTTTTCCAGAATGTTTTGTGATTGTTAAACAAACTATAAATGCATTAAAGCCGAAATACAGTTTTTTCTGAGACTAAATAAATCACAGCGGCTGTTACACATTCAGCAAATACATCTGTTAAAATGAAGCAGTGAATATTGTGATTATTATTATTGCTGCACAGAAGCTCATTAATGGAGACCATTAAGGAAGTCGTTAACAGCTGCAGCAGAAGGCGGGAAGCTGCTGAGGTCGGACCAGCGGCAAATACAGGACCAGCTCTGGACTAAAGGCTTCTCGAGGTTAAAATGGACTATAATGAGGTCTATGTGACGATGGATGAGATGCTGCAGTTTCACCCTGTTGAAAAACTCATCACATCCACACACTCACTCTACAGGAAAAAACATGAATTATCAATGTTTATGTTGATATGACTGACAGGCTTAGATGTGTTCACTTCAAAGATCGGGGGGAATGCATTGTTTTTTAGAGATTTGTTGGATTATATTACTATTATTACCATGACTATTATTATATTTACAATTACCATGTTTATTATTATTATTATCATTACTAATGTTATTAGTGCTACTAATATCCTTATTATTATTATTAGACAGAGAACATTGCAGTTTGTTATCACAGATTAGTGTGTTATAACAGAGGAGATATTCTTATGAACTTCTTCTCACATGTTCTGCTGTTTAGTTCTAAATATCATAAAAGGGAAATAAACCTAAAAAGTGAATGTATCTAATCTTGTCAAAACCATTCATATCGACCACTCAATTCAAGGCATTTCAAAACGTACTACTGTTCAAAGACGTCACACTGTGCACTGACCTTTCTCTCCAGGATACCCGGGTGCTCCAGGCAAACCGGGTATACCAGGGTCTCCGGGCTCGCCTCTGTATCCGGGGGTCCCTGCGTAACCAATCCCAGGTTCTCCAGGACCTCCAGGAAGACCTTTAGAACCTGGGAATCCTGGGAAACCCTTTTCACCCAATGTACCATATCCAGCATCGCCCTGAAAACAGACAAAGGGGCATTTTTGTTTATTCTTTTATAGTCTAAACAGGGCCCATTAGGGCATGAAGGAAGGGTTTCTTCTTTCTTGCATCTGCATAATTCACTGAAAAGTCTTTTAGATAAACATGTTTCTAACTTTTGCTTGGTCCATTCAAATGAAGAGTTGCCTGAAATATTCCACAGTATGACATTAAACTTTCCCCTCTACACTGGAGACAAGTATCAAGTTATGTCTGGAGCATAACAGAAGGGCTACTGCTGATGTCACCCATATTGTTTTCCTAATGCTGAAGAAACTGATTCAAACTAACTCAAAGTTGAAACAACAGCTTAGCAAACAACAAGAAAAAAAGCCAGTTCCTGCTTGCAAGCCAAAGCCGAATTCGGAAAGAGAAGTCACAAATGGTTACAGGAGTATACTGAGTATATTGACGCCTATTTTAGGCGTCAATAAGCAAGTACGTTTTCCCTCGATATATGCGGTGTCCAATCCTGTACTCAATTTTCTTTCAGACAAAGCAGAAGGAGAGCAGACTCCAACCATTTCCTCAAATATTCAGATTCAGGCCCTGTCCACACGTAGCCAGGTATCTGCTAAACCAAATATATTTTTCTTTGTTTGCACCTGTCATCCACCTGACAACGCAGCATAAACAATTAAAAAGTATAAAAAGATTTTAAAAATTCCGGGCAAAGTGAACATTTTTGAAAACTCGCACGTCACAATATGTGCCAAAACAAAAACAAATCTGCTTTGACGTCAAGCGTGCCTCTGAAGACGCATGGATTACTGCCATAAAAACTGTGGTTCCACCGGATCATGCGTAGCGGCGCAGCAGAGGCAGTGGATACAGAGATGCAGCGAAAGCAGGAGATGCAGCAAAGTGGTCACGGGGACTCATGCTCGAAAACAACCAAAACAGGAGCTAAACCAGGATTGAGCCATGGCTGACAATGGGGGACACAGTGCTTGTGAACATATGTCTTCACGCTGAGTTTCTACTGTGACAGTAAAAGTGCTGCTACAGAAGTACCGGCGTTAGCATCAAAGCCCCGCCCACCACTCCTGCTCTGTGTTTTTCACCAACGCAGGACGTCAGAGGACGTAACTAAAATGTTTGGAATGTTATGAATGTGATTGAAAACGCAGATGTTCAGTTATGTAACATGAAAACAAAGTAATGTGGATAAACAGAAGGGGGGAAATATTCAGTTTTTAAAATAACTGGCTACCTGTGAACATGGCCTAAGACTGAACTCACATGAGGACTCCCACTTGGTCACATAGAAAACCTGCAGCCACAGGGGCCCTTTCTAGAGCGGGTTGGAGACCCCTTCTCTACATAAAGTCTATGGTTTGAGGAGAGATAAGGAGTATGTTTTTGAGTAGTAAAAACAGTCATTTTAGACCATTAGGTACAGTCCAAACTAAGCAATCCCATCTCCATGAAGTGGTTCGTGAACTTCATGAAAATAGACGACCGTGATACTCACTGGAGCTCCGGGGGCGCCAGGGAAGCCCGGTAACCCATCTCGTCCTGGTTTTCCTGTCTCTCCGTTGGGTCCTCTGGGTCCAGGTGCTCCAATCTCCCCTTTCACTCCATAACCCTGGACGGGGTAATAGGAAGTGCCCTTCTCTCCTTTACGCCCAAATCCTCCTCGAGGTCCAGCTGGGCCCTAAGAAGAAACCAAAGAGCATGAAAGTCACTGGTTATTTTTATAATCTCGTTTAAATGTTTATGATTTGATTTGATGAACCACAACTGAGAGAAGGATCTGTTCCAAACTACAACAATATAAATTAGTAATAGAATAGAAACTTCATAGCTTATATAAAAAGATCTTGTGATCTTTTACACAAGATTACTAAATAGATGTAAGACAGAGTTATGTCAGTTAGATTCGTTGTACTCAACCCACTATAGACATTACTAAAACACTGTTACATACATTTGGGAGAAACTTCAATAGCAAGATTTAGAACACATAATGTTCAGGACATCTGAATACTCTCTGCCACCTAATGTACAAAACCTTCATGATAGAGATGCTGACCAAAATAATAGACTAAGGGGAAGAACAAAATACATTTAGAACTATAAATGTGAAAGTCTGTGCACATTTGTAATAATATGGAATAACATAAAATAATAAAAAACATGTTTTGAATTTAAAACACAGAAGAAGTACAAGGAGGATAGAGATGTAGGGTCAGTGAGTGTTTGGGTCTCTGTCTTGTGTGTCAAACCCCCTTAAACTGTATTTCTGTTTATTTTGATTGTTTTTTGCTGAATGTGTATAAATATGTCACACATTTGAAATACATTTATGTGATTGATTCCTTTCTTGCCCCACTAATACAAACATAATCATTCTTGTGTATCTATAAATCCTGAACTCACTGAAGGTCCCTGAGCACCGTTGTAGCCGGGTGCTCCTCCATTCCCTGGCTCGCCCTTGGCTCCAGGGAACCCGGGTGTCCCACTGGGTCCTGGTGGTCCTTCAGGCCCCGGAGTTTCCTCCACCGGCACAAGACAGTCCCCTGAATCTCCTGCAGGAGAGGGTTAAAAAAGATTCACATTGAAAACCTAAGTCTGTGTGATTGTGTTTTTGTGATCTGGGGTTTGTTGCTGGGGTTTGATTCATGTTGTTGTTGTAGAGAATCCAGTACAATATTTGAATATATGAATTATTATCATGATATATTATTGAGAAATTGTATTGTATCAGATTGTGAAGGAAACCTCTGATTCCTTTGAATCCAGGGCCACCAGGATCTCCTCTCGCACCGGGCAGTCCCGGTTGACCCGGGATGGTAACTCCATCAACATTCGGCCCTGCAAAAGATGAACAAAAAACCTGATTTTATAAGACTGCTCAGAACTGAATGAACCTAGTGGAATCTGCGTTTGGGTTTAAGCTGCCTTTGCAAGAGCACAGTTGTCTATATATGATATATATATATTATCATTATATATATATATTATATATTAGACGTTGTGAAAATATGAACGAGCTGTGAGAACTGATTCAATGATTTTGCGTTGACCATGACAGAGAACATGCACTGTGTCATTTTGGCATGTACACTGCTCATTTAAGTTTGGGGTCATCCAGATGATTTCTACTGAAATCTCAAGTTTGGGGTATTTAGCAAACACAAAATCCCATCAGAACATGGGAGATGTTACATGGGAGATGTTATATAATATGGAATGAATATATCATTCCATATTATATGGAATGATATATTCCATATAATCATTCAATGTCAGTGTCATAGACATATGGACAGTTTTAAGTCAAACTTTAGGCAGCGTACATCACTAATTCATAATATTTACCTGTTTTGTAGTGTCACATGTGCCAAAATAATACACAGTGCTATTGAGAAATCATTGAACTGTTCATTGGCGACATCTTCTGGTCAAAGATGAGTAAAGCAGCTTGAACATTCCCATTCAAGTCTGAAGCCTTTGAATATACTCACCAGCACCACCAGTAGGCCTGCATCAGTATAGCACCAGGCATGCATCAGTATAGCACCAGGCCTGCATCAGTATAGCACCAGGCCTGCATCAGTATAGCACCAGGCCAGCATCAGTATAGCACCAGGCCAGCATCAGTTTAGCATCAGTATAGCATCAGTAAGGCACATAGAGACAGTGATGGCTTGAGCTTGTTTTATTGAAGGCTCATTATTGCCATGATTTAATGACCTTATGGTACCTGGGGGGCCGGGAGGATAGATGACGCAGGGTTCATTCAATCCTTGGAGACAATACAATCAGTGAGCTTTAAAAAATTATGTTTACATCCATCCTTTTGTCATTGCTGAAGCACTTGATTAACTTCAAGGCCAAGGCTTTAGAATTGATTTATTTTTAAAGAAGACGTGTGAATGTATGTTTACTGTATTTATACAGTATCATACTTAATTGTGAGGTTTCATATTCAGTTATAGTTTTTTGTACAAATCATATTTGAGTAACAGATAATTTTTGTGTGAAAGATTCTGGCAACGAAAGTGTTCATGTAATTGTAATCACACTGTAATCACTCATTGATTGCTTAGACTGTGTATTACTTACTGTCCATTTAAGAAAGAAATTTGGAATTCTAAGTCTTACAGATTTGACATCATGACCAAAAAAATTAGAAGCTAATAAGCGAATGCTCAGATGAACCCCAGTGAATCAATAAGAACGGGTGTAGGTGGACTTAATGGCAAAGACAAAAGTTTGTTAAATCATTTCAAAAATACAAAGACCTCTGAGGAAGGAAAGTAGGAAATTGATTATTACACTGGTCCCTTGTTAAATGAGCCTGGCCTTAGCCATCCGTAAACACCGGTCCATTAACATTTCCTACATGTACTGTACGTCTGGGTCTGATCCTAGTGGCTGCGGTAACCTCGGTTGTATCCCATCCAACCATTTAGCGAGCAGGTGTCAGTGACGTCAAGAGTTTGAACAGAATTTGCTGGTTGTAGTTTAGCGGTGAATGCGAAAGTAAAGTAATCACTGCTGGTTCGGCTTCAAATATCAAAACATTTAAGCCAGAGCAAGAGGAATGTTTAGCAAATGTCTTTGCTGACAAAGATGTTGTGGCTCTATTTACCATTGGCTCCGTTAGTGGAAAAGGAGATGGATAAAGCTAGGCTAAATGCTAAATGCTAGCAACTCACTCGGGCACATAACATACATCACGGTAAATTCAGATCCAATCGTTTCAATCTGCAAAATAAGTTAACCCCTCCCACCTGTTAACGGAGCTCAATGGAGCAAAACCTTTGTACAAATAAAATTTGTACAATGGTAGGGTAACACCAGGCTATTGTCAAATATTAACATGAAATAAATGCAAAATTTACCAAAATCGTATGCTAACATATGCTTTAAAAATAAAACATTGGATCTATCTATGTACATAGCTATAGGACAAGTCTAATGCAGCCCGCGGAAATTCAATTTGGTAGACGTCAGCCAAAGTTACCCCCTCCAGGCCGGTTCACATCCCCAGCCTATCGCACAGCAAACGCCCCCTTCCAATCACCCGTAACGTCCAGGCAGCCGCTTAAAAGCGGAGAAACTCCCACTTCACGGCCTCCCGAAGCTTGCAACCACCGCCTCCCCTCCTCCTCCTCTTCACCCTGCCTCCAATCTGCCTTCAATCTGCTTCCCGCTGCCAAATGCCGCCACCAGTGCCTAGGTCCCGGGGGATTGGCGCGCTCCATCGCAGGAGCCTCTCCGATCTGAAGGCCGCACCGGGGCCTAGGGCGCCAAACCTCCTCCCAATAAAATACTCAAAAGCTTCTTGTTTTCTCGTCTCTCCAAATTGAATTACCGGTACACTGTTTATTTACCGTAAAGATCAAAAACTTCCGCTTTACGATGCATTACCATCAAACTGACAAGTCAGACATAGTTCAGATATATATACAATAACTAATGTGTATTATAGACCTCATTACTGTTGGTAAAGCGATCGACTGTGGTCACAAAAAGAACATTTAAACACAGCGAGATCAGGATGTTTTTAACCAGCGTGCCATGGCATGTTGGTGTGGTTATGGAAATATTGCCTTATTGGTCAAAATAATGTAAAAATTAAATAATGTGAGAAGATTAGAAAAACTTTTTTGAGCTTATTTAGTAATCTATATAATACACGTTGATGAGAAAGACTTTGCTGTGTTAAGAGAGGGTGCAGAGTTTCATGTTTGTATCAATTTCAGCTGGTGATGTGCCATGTGACTGTTACCAATGAAACAGATTGGGGAACACTGCTCCAGACGACCCATGAGCGTTAAGACAACACCCCTAACTTCAGTGGCCAAACATCCACTAGACCAGGCATGTCAAAGTCAAATACATCAGAGGGCCAAAAAAACAAATTTGCTGCGAGCCGAGGGCCGGACTGGTTCAATGTTTATTAACTCATTGCCTGCCAGCCTATTTCAGAACAGGTACTCCCATATTGCCAGCAGTTTCTGATGATTTTTATAGATTTTTCAAGAACCACAGAACATTGTGTACTATGGCTATCTGAAATCCGAAACCAGATTCTGAAAGAATACACTGTCTACTTTCATCAGCAAAAAGATTTTTGTTTCTAGCTTGTAATCCCCAGTTGAGTAGAGGGAAGTTTAACTGAAATCACCAAAAAGTTGAGAAAAAAGAGGCAGAACAAGTGCATCTAGCTGTTTTCAAACTATTCAGAGAGCGCTGCTGCCACCTGCTGGCTCGATTCAATATGCTCTCAAGCTTATCCCCATAGATATTAGATATAATAGACATCTGGGAACATGAAAATAGCAGAAAACGCAATTGACGTAATAGTGTGGCAGGCAACGGGCCATGTAAAATTCATTCGCGGGCCGGATTTGGCCCGCGGGCCTTGACTTTGACACATGTGCACTAGACCCTAAGTGTTTTATTGCTTGTGTCTAAGGGCACAAAAGCCAAATGGTGTTGGTGGGATTATTGACAAGGAAAAACAATGACTTCATTGAAATTGTGTATCCTACGTCTCCTTTACGATAAAGTCCTATTTGTTTCAAAGACTAGTATCAGTAACATGAGGAACATTATCCTGTGCTCATTACCGGGGGGTCCAGGGGGTCCGCGGGATCCTTGGGGCCCCTGCAGTCCAGTACTGCCAGGCTGTCCCTCGGGGCCGTAGCTCGGGATGCCGGGGTTACCCTTCTCACCCTTTGGTCCTGGGGTACCAGGGAAACCTGGAGCTCCACGCCCTATATTTGGAAAGAGAAGATGAGCAACAAACTATAGAAAAATAAAAGACTTATTACACTTATTACATGAAAAAAAGCTAAAGCGTGTTCCATCTGCATCACTTCTACAGACACCATGCATTTTCCATAATTGTGAGATTCTTTACAAATCCGAAGTGCAGTTTTTTATTAAATAAAATACAACAAAAATAATACAAGACAAGTGTCTCCAAATGTAGGGTCTAGGGCCCCCTGGTGATCCTGGTGGCAGCTCAGGGGGCCCCAAAGGTTCTTAACACAACAACAAGAGAAGCATATAACACTGTAATACACTGACGTCACATCTTTATCTTTCACGTTTATGTTTGTGTTTAGTTTTAATATTTAACATGAATTGAAGAAAATGATGTACCATGAGAACAATATTGTGGTAACAGTGCTCTGAGTAAAATACTGTTACACTGCTAGGCCTTACCTCCAGTCCCTGTGAAGGTTCCGGGGAGTCCTGGGAGACCTGGAAATCCTGGAGCCCCTTGGTCACCGGGAGGTCCAGGGGTTCCAGGGCGCCCGTTGTCTCCGGGGAACCTGCGGTACACAATAAAAATTAAGAAAAAACTGAATGTAATTTTTGTCCAACTTTGGTGCGAGTGAATGACCTTGAACAGCAGTGCCAAAATCACTGACGTAAGTGGGAGGTCCTGGAAGCCCGGGTTCTCCTTGAAGGCCCTGAATTATAAAACATAGCATAAAACATAAACAGGACAGATAACGCAAGTTTGCAGCTGGTGCCAAAAGGGTTGTGAATAAACCCTGTTCCATAATTTTGCAAGTGAGACTTTTTACTTTTCCCAGACACAAAACCCATTGTAAATGTTACATTGTTCCTAAATAAATATGACTTAGTTTTTCTGTCCATTGCAATATTGGTATATTATTCAAATTTATTATGAAACCAACACCTAAAATTTACAATATTTGGAACCTGCATTCCTATTTATTTATACAAAGATGGCGCCTCGTACGGTCGACATGGCTCTTTGCTGCTCTCTTTTTCTTTTGTTTTTACTTTTTAACTGCGCATCTGGCTGTTCCTACACCCGTGAGGAACTTATGAACATCCGACCCACCGTTCCCATGGACCTATTGCCTGTTTTCTTGGCATCTGCGGCTGATTTAGTTCATGTTCTAGCCAAAAAAGTGTGGGCCCGTAAAAGGGGAAAGCGCGGAGGCCTGCTCGTGCGTCTTAGGAGGAGAGGAGCGCGCACGGCTCTCCCCGGCATTTTTCTCTCCAACGTACGCTCACTGGGCAATAAGATGGACAAACTCAGCCTGCTCATGAGAAGAAACAAGGACTTCGCCACATCCTGTGTCCTCTGCTTCACTGAGACCTGGCTAAATGAGCGGATCCCGGACTGCGCTCTGGAGCTGCAGGGCTTTGGGCTGTTCCGCGCGGATCGCCATTGTGCGCTCTCAGGGAAGAGCAGAGGCGGTGGGCTGTGTTTCTACGTCAATACAAACTGGTGTAACGATGTGACAGTGATCTCCAAGCACTGCTCTCCTGCTCTGGAATATCTTTTCATTCATTGTAAACCATATTACTCCCCGCGCGAAATTGTTTCATTCATTCTTGCCTCTGTTTACATACCGCCACGCGATGCGCGGCAATTACCTGGGGATTTTAGATAAGGGAAACTTGGCCAGGATTTACCTCAGCGGCATCAACTGTTACACCACCGTGCGCGGAAGCTTTTCGCGCTGTTCCCAAGCCAGCCCTCGGATTCTCAGATCACTGATACATCTGGTATCCTGCTTACAGACAGAGACTAAAGCAAACCTGCAATGAGCAAGATGAAGCTGTGGAAGAGCTGCGCGCATGCATGGAATCTACAGACTGGGACCTTTTCAGAGCTGCCACAGATAGTTTGGATGAATATACGGACACTGTGACGTCATACATTCACTTCTGTGAGGATAGCATCATTCCAACAAGGACCAGGGTCATCTATAACAACGACAAACCCTGGTTCACTGCTAAACTCACGGCAGCTCAGGAAAGCAAAGGAGTCTGCTTTCAGGGAGGGGGACCGCAGCGGCTACAAAGCAGCTAAATATCAGTTCAGGAGAGAACTGAAAGCAGCCAAGTCCCGGCACAGAGAACGACTACAGGAGCAGTTTGGTAACAACGATACTGCTTCTGTCTGGAGGGGCCTACGGGAGATCACCAACTACAAACCCAAAGCCCCCCCCTGTGCTGACGACCACAAGCTAGCTGACGATCTGAACTTATTTTTCAGTCGCTTTGATGCTGCCCCTGACACCTCTCCCTCCCCCACCCCCCACTACTCTAACGACCCACCCATCAGCCCTGCCCCCAGCCTAACAATAGCCGCTAAAGAGATTAAACAACTCTTCCTGAGGCTTGCACCCCCGCAAAGCTCCTGGCCCGGACCACGTGTCTCTGGCCACTCTGAGACACTGCGCCATCAATCAATCAATCAATCAAATTTTATTTATAAAGCGCTTTTCATACAAAAAGTGTAACACAAAGTGCTTTACAGTTTAGTTAAAAACAATCCAACTATGCCCAGCCCTAAACCCTCCTCCCCACAGACCCCCCAAAATCACATTTATAATTATATATACAATACACCTCACACACACACACACACACACACACACACACACACACACACACACACACACACACACACACACACACACACACACACACACACAACATACACATATACACAAGTATAAAGTCATATCAGGTAAAATAGGTAAAACAATAAAAGAAATGGGGCTGGGAGCAGATGTAACCGGCTGAAGAAGCGTCATCCAAGGAGCCATCTGCACCAGGAGCAGAGAGCCGGCTGCAGCCACAGGCAACGACACAGGACCCAGAGGAGAGAGGGGCCCAGACCCACCAGGCCCAGGACTCAGACCCCATAGGACCCAGAGGAGAGAGGAGGCCCCAGACCCCCACCGGATCCAAGAGCCAGTCCCCCGAAGCCACAGCAGGACCCCAGCTCTCAGTGCAGAGGGCTCCTCCAGAGGAAACACTGGGGACACTAAAACAATACAATAATACAATAGAAAGTAGAACAATAGAATGTGAAAATAAAAAGAAAAATGGCAGCTGCCTAATATAATAACAATAGTAAATGGGTAGATACAATAAATAATTAAAAATAGTAAATAATAAAAATAAATAAAAATATTAATCCATCTAAAAACATAAATAGATGTACTAAAAAGCAATAATAGATAATAAATACTAATCAAAAGCTGCTCTAAAAGGTGCGTTGCGTCTTGAGCCTACTCTTAAAAATATGAAACGTTCTCTGCGGTCCTGCGCCAGTGAGCTTACTCCTGGTGTTCACGGACATTTTCAACACCTCTCTGCAGTCCTGCCATGTCCCCCCGGCATGCTTCAAATCCTCCATCATTGTCCCCGTCCCGAAGAAGCCCAGGATCACAGGACATCAATGACTACAGACCTGTAGCACTTACATCTGTCGTCATGAAGTCATTTGAACGCCTGGTTCTCTCCCATCTCAAGTCCCGTCACCTCCCCCCTCCTGGACCCCCTGCAGTTCGCCTACAGAGCCAACAAGATCTGTAGACGACGCCATTAACCTGGCCCTCCACCCAACATCCTACAGCACCTGGACTCCCCGGGGACCTACGCCAGGGTCCTGTTCGTGGACTTCAGCTCTGCCTTCAACACAATCCTGCCATCCCTGCTCCAGGACAAGCTCTCCCAGCTCAACGTGCCCGATTCCACCTGACAGGTGGATCACTGACTTCCTGACGGACAGGAAGCAGCGAGTGCGTCTGGGGAAGAATGTCTCGGACTCTCGGATTATAAATACAGGAGCCCCACATGGCTGTGTTCTTTCTCCCCTGCTCTTCTCCCTGTACACCAACCACTGCACCTCCAGCCACGACTCCGTGAAGCTGATCAAGTTTCGCGGACGACACTGTCTACCCTCATTGGACTCATCTCCAACAACGATGTAGTCCGCCTACAGGAGGTAGGTGGACCGGCTGGTGTCCTGGTGCAGTGGTAACAACCTGGAGCTGATTACGCCCAGAGACAGTGGAGATGATTGTGGACTTCAGAAAGAGCACTGTCCCCCCACCCCCACCCTCCCTGTGATGGACTCCCCCATCACCACTGTGGAGTCCTTCCGTTTCCTGGGCACCACCATCACCCAGGACCTCAAGTGGGAGCCGACCATCAGCTCCCTCATCAAGAAGGCCCAGCAGAGGATGTACTTCCTGCGGCAGCTCAGGAAAGCCTAGCTGCCTGCACAGATGTTGGATTGCAGTTCTACACGGCCATCATCGAGTCCATCCTCACCTCCTCCGTCACCGTGTGGTATTCGCTGGAGCCACAGTCAGGGACAAACAGAGACTACAGCGCATTGTGCGCTCTGCAGAGGAAAGTGCATCGGCCGCACAAGCCTTCCATCGCTGCAGGACCTGTACGTCGCCCGAGCTCGAGGCCGGGCTGGTCGTATCACAGCCGACCCCTCTCAACCCTGCACATGGACTATTCCAACCACTCCCCTCAGGCAGGAGGCTGCGGTCCATCAGGACTAGAACCATCCCGCCACATGAACAGTTTCTTCCCCTCTGCTGTTGGACTCTTGAACACTTCTTAACCTGTCCCCCCCGCCCTTTATAAAGTCACTTTACTGCCCATCATACGTCAACTTTACTTCACTGTACTGCTGTCACCTTACATTGTGTGCACCATGTGCACTTGTATATTGTAAATAGTAACTGTAACTCTATTTTAAATTTAAATTTATTCTTTATTATCTCTTTTGACTGTGCATGGTGTGGATTTTTATTCTTTTATTTTTATGCCCTGTATCTCTTTTTGTGGTCCTGTGTGTGCTACTGTTGCCTGGTTCACTGAGCCTGTCTGGTTCTTTTGGAAAGCACTTTCCTTATTTTTTGTCTGTTGACCTCCATACCTGTTACTGACACGTTGCTTCTTAGCAATAAAAATGTTACTACGTGTCTATTCTGATTCTATTTTGCAACCATTTTATTCAAAACTTACTCTCATATTCTGTGATTTTCTGTGAATGTTAAAACCAATCAATAATAGAAGACGAAGACAAAAGTAAACAAATTTAAAAAGCTAAAATAAAGGATAAAAAGGCTGTTATTATGTATTGGCTCTTTACCATGGATCTATAATAATAACTGGATAGCGTATTACAGCTTATGTCTGTCCCACCCATTGACACAGGGGGTGCCCGTGGTCCTGTAGACTAAATTCAGGTGGGCACGTTGAGAACAGCTCAACCTCAGCTGACAGAGAACCCTACAGCTCTGTAAAAAGGTCGGATTTTGTGGGAGTTTTAGTGTCCCTTCTCATCCTGAACTTTTTTTTCTTGTTAATAAATCTTCATCCGAATTTTCTATAAATCCACACTTTAATTCATAAAACCAGCTCTAACTCAACCTCAAGCTCCGCTCTGATCAGCAGCTCCGATTGGTCAGAGCGCGGCCAAGCTCTTCTGTGCACGTGCGTGAGAGACACACACATGGCGCAAAGCATCATGGGAGCTCGTCCACTGCGCAAAACTGGAGGACCAGACAATGCCCACGGGCGAGCTGATTTGAATAGGGCACCATCTTGGATCACCGGGGCTTGCTTTTAACTCATAACTTGTCTCACTTAACTCAGTTCAATAGCCCCATCTAGAGGGAAAATGTCATTACTGTTGTTTCCGCCTTAAAATATCAGTGGTGAGCAGCTCTTAGTAAAAGCTGATTTACCTTTCCCCCTGAGAATCCTGGAGGCCCTGGAAAGCCTGGATTGCCACTGTATCCCTTGGAGAAAAACAAGCATATTATAGATCAATTATTTGTGTAACCATCAGTTTTTATTTACTGTTTTATGATCATTTGAAGAATTATAGACAGTAATCTGGCGAACATACCTGTTGACCTGGAGACCAGGAGGGCCGTTAAAACCGGGTGGACCCTGTTTGGAAAACAATATATTATCAAGAGAAAAAGGGACAAGTGCATTATGGGTGACGATTCCTGGAGACATGTTTAAAGAAGAACAGGATGTGCTTCTGTGAATAGTTTTAACTTATAGGCCCCCGTCCCAATACTCGCACTTCCACCCTTGCGCCCCTCATTTGCGCGTTCCCGATAAAGGGTGCGAGTGCGTAGGGTGTCCCAATTCTCCAGGGAGGTCTTTGGCCCCGCCCCCTTTGCGCCCCTGATCCACACTTCGCCGTAAGCCCTGCATCTATGCGCACTCGGGGCGAAGGATATTGCCCATAATTCTTTGCGGTACACACCAAAACGTCGGGAAAATGCATTTAAATATACATTTTGAAATATATAATGCAGTATGTGTGTAAATAAGTTTTGCTATGTTACTTGGAAAGAAGCATAAACTTCTGATGAAGAATTACGGACATTGTGTTTTAACAATTTAATAACTTTTTAAAACAAGCGTTTATATAACATTCAATTTAAACTTTACACTTAGTACAATAATCTTAGAATGTATACAAACTGACCAGATAGTTAGTTACCCACATTTAACTTAAAATGATACAGCTATCTCTAATTAAAAACAACTAATATACATGTATTTTAACGTGTGTGAAGCAATTCATTTTGTTTCCCAAAGGGTCTCTTGACGAGTCGATGACGTAACCTGCATTCAGTGCACTGTCCCTATTCCGCCTTTTTTGCACGCTTGTAACCTGCGCACTCCAACCCTGGTGTGCACTTCGAACAAATGCACACTTTCGTAGAGGTGTGTAGGGTGCAGTGTGGGTATTGGGACTGGGCCATACTTTGGATCTGAGTGCCACATTCACACAACCTCTACAGCTAAAATGTCTCAACAAAGAAATGTAATCATGATTAATTGATAACAGAATTCACGTACCAACATCCATCAGTTATAGAATGTGTAGGCAGTAATCAGTGAAACAGGTCGAATGAGAAGGGATATAAATATAAGTTTAAAATCCTTATAAGTCAAATTGGTCTTTCTAAACTTCTAAACCATTACACATTGTTCCTCATTAGTCACAGAACTGGAGTTGATTTTAGATCCATCAACGATAATATCGAGAACTTCTGGCACAAACGTGTAACTCTGCTCCGTCTGGTCTAAAGCTCCTGTCTCAGTCTTGTAATAGGCAGTAATTGGCCGTTTCTAGGGTGAGATAGGTTCTTTACAATATTCTTTGAGGACTTTTTAAAATGAGGAAAACAGAGAAAGTACAGCCATTTTTGCCCTTGCACTTGTTTTGCCACACATTTTCTACTTATGATATATTTCTTCGTAAATGTGCTCTCACCCGTGCCCCTGGGTATCCATGGAATTCCCTTTTCTCCAACTAATCCACGATATCCAAATGATCCCTGTAAAGGTACATGAAAGATTTTTTTTCATTCAAACATAATAATAAATAAAAGGCATTTTTGAATTTTGGAAATGTGAAAGCTGGGGTAACTTTTAAACCACAGAAGCTTCACTGTGATAAAATCCATCTATCTCACTTGGCTCTAAAACCGTTTTACTTCCATCAACTCTGTGACATGCTTGGCCTCTGTCATATCTTTAGAAGTGGGAGGGGATAATTTAGTTTTTGAAAGTACAAAGTTGAAATGACATGTTAACCCCGATAGATTAAAACACAGACAATACCATTGGGATCAACATTTACTTTTAGGACTATTATTATATTATAATGCATCTATCATTGCATCTATCATTGCATCTATCATTGCATCTATTATTGCATCTAATCATATTGCAAAAAAACTCATACCGGTTGTCCAGGTGTTCCAGGAAATCCACAGCACTCCTTTGAGCCTGGATCACCCTTTGGAAAGTTAAAATAGTGTCAGAAAAACAATATAAGGATAAAAGCTCGTTGGTAGTTATTCATGCTTACTCTGTCTCCTTTGTAAATTGGTGAGAGTTTGTTCGCTGACTAAAGTCGTGTCGCGAGTGGAACCGCTTGGACCAGGCGGCCCCACATTGCCCATAAAGACCAGAAAACAGACGTCATATTAGAAGACCCAAAACACATCTAATGTTTATGGTATACTATTATAAGGTAACTCTTTATCTCCTTTCTGCTCTCCCAATAGCCTTCACCGTGGCTTCCCTGAAATTAGAAAAATAGATTAAGCAATTCAGCCTTTTCAAACATCACTAAACTTCAATCATTACATTATTGACGTAGTGTAGTATGAGTTCTATCTTGTGCGATTCTTGGGAGTCAGCACCATCAGACCCACATTCTATGCAAAGAAGTTCAAACTAAATGAAAAGCATTTCTTTAATCATCTTTTATTTAGACATTTATAGGACATTTATGTAAACATTTGACATTTCTTGAAAAGTTTTACACATTTTCACTATATTGAAAAAACCCATATAAAACGGTGATGCCCTGCGTTCAGCACTTTGAAGTGCCTTGTGTATGAATTGTGCTATACAAATACAACTTGCCTTGCCTTAGCCAGTAAAAATTACAGTTATATGTTTATAGTTTGAAAAAGAGCATTTCTTAATAGCCCACAGAGGTATCGAAGATTATATGGAATATTTTGTGTTTTTGCTAGTATTCTTCAGATCCATGCAGCAAAAATCTTCCTAAAATGTGAGACAGGCTTCTACTCTAACTTCTAATCCAGCATGTAAACAGTTTCTGTTTAGCGCGAGCTGAAGGATTGTATCTTTTTGCTGCTACCGGAGCAGGATCAATAAAGTATCTATCTGTATCTGTACTCACCATGGGGCCTGGCGGACCGGGGGGACCAGGAGGACCCTAAAAACAAACAAAATCATTGTAAGTCTAACTATAGAGGGTCATTATAGCATTTTACTACATGTTATTGACTGTGTGGATGACATTGTACGTGACAAATACATAATCTATCGACGCAAAAGTTAATATTTTTGCATATTTGATAATGGCTCAGTAGCTGTATGAGTGGTCAGCATGGGCTCTTTACTTTCGCTCACAGTGCTATATAGGTTTTGACAGGATCAATTGTTGGGAAGGTTTTCTCTGCAGTCGGACCCTCTCACCAGAAAACCACAAAACACTTGATCTGGAGCTCTGTAGACACAACCATGATCAGCAAAGGAACCATGCTGACTACTCATACAGCTGAGTCACTAAAACGAAAAATACACAAAATTATCAATCGCGCTTTCAAACATGTCGTGCATCTTACGGCATATCCAGTGGGTCCAATAGGTCCAGGCGCTCCAGGTCTGCCGTCAGGGCCTCGATATCCCTGAAAAAACATATCTGAGTGAATTCAATGATTATGCTCAGATTCAGTTTATGTGCCATTTGATGCTCCAGGACATTTAAGGACATTTATTAACACTGACAGTGATCTGTCCGGCTCCCTATGGACCGGAAATACTTTATAAAGTCGCACAGGAAATACTTTGTAAAGTCAAAAAGTTACTTGAAACATTGACATATGAACAGAATAGACAACTAAACACTATAAACAAGAGAAAAAAACACAGGAAAACAACTAAAAGAGTTATCTAATAAAGGGACTGGAACCAGCTATCCTATGTATTAGTCAAATGAGTCCAATTGTGTTATTTCAATTCTATTATCCTTTGAGTAAAACTATAACATTCTCATTTAAAGTTGATCTAATCTTATCTTAGTCATTGTCATATTCCATTAATCGAAAGACTAACTCAGGATATCGTCTAAAAAAATGTATTTCCAATATCTACAAATATGTTCTGTTGGGAAAATAAATACAAACTGGATTTTTTTTTAAAGAAAAACAACTATAATACTTAGCGGTAAAAAGTTGGTACATTCTTTTTACACAGAAAATTGTGTATATTTTTTCACCGGTGGGCCGTTGACTCCTGGTAAACCTGGCAAACCCTGGAAAACAATGATGCAAGTATTTATTATTAACTGCCTGTTTCGTGATCACTGATATTAACATTTAACATGAAACCAGGATCATACCGCGATGGTGTTGTCTGTGTCAGAGATGAAGATAGGCTCTCCCTTTTGTCCTTTTGGTCCATAAATTCCCTGTTCAATTCAACAATATTATCATTATATAACACTCAATACATATGTAGTCAAGCAGCTAAACTAAAACGCTGGACTTACACTGGGGCCAGGAGTTCCAGGAGGTCCGATCCCATAGCCTGTGTCTCCAGGCTCTCCCCGTTCCCGTTACAGCCGTCAACACCTGGAGGACCCCTGGGACCGCCGGCTCCGGTATGGCCCTACAGTAAAGAGTACAACTTAAGATTATTATTATCTTTAGAGAATTTTAAATATGTCTACAATAATCTCCATAGGTGCTAAAGTACAGGTTACTCACGGGTACGCCATCGGTTCCTGAGAAGCCGGGGACGCCCATGGGCCCCTGGGGAAATCACACAGAGCATGACAGTCACGGTCACTTACTACACATATTACAGCCACTTACAGGACAAACAAGGTCCTACAAATAAGCATGCATACAATTTAAGGTAAAACATTTTTTTAATTATTCATAATATAAACAAGCAGTGATTATCCGTTTTTAGGGATCAAACATTTAAAAATTATCAAGGTTACCACTCTGTTCAAATCATTATGATTTAATTATGTTGAATGTCACCATCTTGTGGCCAAAAGCCGATATTGCAACACGGCAGTTTGTCACCATCTTGTGGCAAAAATATGGAATAGCAACAAGGGTGATATTTCCACAGACTGTTGAATCACATAGCTCCTGTGGACTCACCACCTGCAGGAGGATCAGTGAGGGGCTGGTGCTCTGTGTACTGGGTGCAGCTCTGACTGCCACCCCCCCGACTCAGAAATGGATTAAGGGGAAGAAAATGGATGGATGGATGGATGGTGAATCACATAATAATTCAGTACATATGAAATGTTTTTATACTTTTTTTATATGTACTATTTATATTTTCTAAAAAAGGTACAATAAGATAAACCAGCCAGATGAACCTGCTTGGACCAAGTTCTGTAACCTGTTGTTTTCAGCTTCAGCAAGACGGGTCACCACTAGTCTGACGGGCCAGTGGCACAGTTTGGCAATATAATGAATAAACATGTCTGAACGGTGACTGAATGTAATTTAATACTGCAATAAATGACCATGTTTTATATTCATAATCAACTTTGTTTGGGTTTATTCCTTATATCAGTGTCGCCAATAGTGGGGTCAGCGAGGGTATTGCAGGGGGGCCGCGAGAGGTCATTATTATTATTATTTATTATTTATTTATTTAATTTGAATAATTAGATTGTAATCATTTTTGTATTACAAAATGGGGTGCGTCATTTACATGTTTGTGGCAGAGGCTATTTCCCCCCCAAAAAATAACGAGAAGAGCCTATTTTTAACGTCGTCTTCTTGGTTAGTATATTGGGGGGCCGCGCAGACCCGTCAGATTTTTAAGGGGGCCGCAGTGTTACTGACTTTTGGAATGGCTGCCTTAGATGTATTATATTATCTGGAAAGGGCATTGCTAGCTTAAGCCAGGCCCGGCATGGTGCCTTACACAGTACATACTCACAATACAATTCATGTATCAATTATTTAAACAGCCGGCACTGACTTTGTCTCCGTTGGGCCCGGACGGCCCCTTCAGTCCGATGTGGCCCCTCTCTCCTTTAGGTCCTGGGTGTCCGGTCCCACCCCGAGGCCCCTCTGGTCCACTGGGCCCGGCATCTCCCAACGGCCCGGGTTGACCCTACAGACAGAACAATGTGGTCAATGATAAGAATAAGTAGAAATAAGAAAACAATATGCAGACTGACGGAATTAAAGTGAGACACATCTTTGTTCAGACTAAGGTCAAAATGATGTTTAGAAAATCATCACATGGTGTAGCCTGAATATGTGTTAATTTTATTCTCTGTTTGGTCTTTTTCCAGATGAAGTCCATGTGTTTTATCACTCCATCTGTGAATAACAGTCTAAAATTACCTTGTAATATAAATAATGAGATGAATGGGGTATTTTTACAACTTGAAACCATTTCCTTTTGTTTTGAAGATGGAAAGCAGTGCAGGCGGAAGTGTTGTTTTGTTCTTTAGCTAGTTTAGACTTGTTGAGCTGTGAGGGTGGTCCTCTGCAACACGCGCCTTTTCAAGCTTTTCAAATATTAACAGTGAGACAGTTTTACATTAGTTTCGGACCATTAAAAGTTATAGTTATTTCCTTTCTGAACCACACAGGTTTGTGTATGTAAACTAGATTGCGTATACATTTGCCTTGTTTTATCACCACATACACTCCACATAGTAACAGTGGTAATCTATCATCTGTGTGGGGAAAATGCAGTGGTTTCATAAATGAATGATTCAGACTGATCCTGTTTTCTTCCCTGTTCATTTAAAATATTTTGGTTATAAAACATGAACACACTATTCACATTATTTAATTTGTGCTCCAGCGCCATAGGGGTGTATACCTATTTATGGACACCTCCTTCAGTAATCTTTTTTATTGGTTTTTCGAATGTGTCCCTGTCCTCCACTAGATGGAAGCAAAGTAAAATCAAGGGTTTGGAATGAAATCAAATTTTTTAGGTGTTTTAAAGTACCTGGCGTTTTGTGTCATACATAACTAATTTTGATGGTCCCAACAGAACGAGTCTTGGGAAAACAAACTTATTCATCTAGAACACATGTTATCTTTTGCATACATGTAAAAAAGAATTTGACACTTTGAGCAGAGAGCTGATTGGCCGTTACACGTTTCTGTCTGATAAAACTGATTTAAATATGTGACAGACAGAAATACATGCATGTGAAATCTATTGATAGAACCAAACTATCGCTAACTAGTTTGAGAGCAACAAACTAGCCAGATTAATATTATTGTAATTGTAAAAAAAAATTAATCGTTTGAGAGTTAGGTACCCCAGCTTTAACGTCGACACCTTGTACATTACAAACAAAAGCTGAAACTCTAGCACTTAGTTCCATATTTAGGTCCACACTAAAGCAGCCATCAGTTGCCAATTGTTATTGTTTTGTGGTCACTTTTACGCCTGTGAATCCATTACCAGAAGTCATAAAGTTAGAGTAAAGATAAAGTTTCATGTAAAGCTGCTGCAGATGGACACTTTACATCTACAGGACTTTTATTAGAGTGTTTTATAGACTGGAAATACATGTTTCAGCCTAGATACCTGGAAGCAACCAAGCTGAGATAGAAAATCCTCCAAACTATGCAGAGCCCCCACAAACACCAGAGGTAGCACAAAATGTAAATGCTTCTTTAATGTAATTGAAAAATGGCACGCAACGGTACAAGTTTTAAAATAAATCCAATTAACAGAAGTTTATGAACAATTTAAACCAGAAACAAGCTAGAATTTGTTGAAAAGTCACTGAATCAATGAGAGAAAAAATGCTTGCCTCAAGTTGCCATGGTAAGTTAAAATATGCAAGTAAGTAAATAAGTAATGTTTATTGTATATAGACATGGATGTAGACATAGATGGACAATGGTAACCGCCTGGCTCAATGAAACCCAATAGGGAAGTGCTCATGGACGCAGTTTTGTTCCAACTCGCTCTGGCTGCTATTGACTTACATTGAAAAGTAGCCGTTCGTGTTACCATCACCATTTTGGGCTTAAAAATCTGGGTTTAGGTGTAGATACGTACATCCACAGTAACAGGAAGGTGCAATCCATGCAAAGAGTAAACAGGTCAAACTCAGAAAATTAGTATATTGTATTTACTTCTGTAATTCAATGTACAATTCAAAACTAAAATATCTAGATTACAAGAATAACTGAGATGTATAATTTATTAGTTTCAATGTTGTTAATAGGTTCACAACTTTCAAAAAAAAAACACACAATTTCAGAAAATTATAATACTCTGTGAGCAATAATCATCATTGTAACAAACATAGACTAGGCATATTTTGTCACTTTTGTGTAATGAGTCTATACCATATGTTGGTTTCACATTGTAAGTTGAATTACAGGAGTAAATGAACTTTTGAACAATATTGTGATTTTCTGATTTTTTATAGTGCAAATGTTTCTTTAGTTTCATCCTGGATTGGTTGTTATCTAAATATACAAATAAATTATGCATATTCTTCTGTGGTGACTAAGCACACTACCATGACCTCCTCCTGACCCGGTCTTGTTACCATTTTAGTGACAAAGTCGGGGGTGGTGGCTTAAACGTTGCTTCAATGCGTTGTGTCTGGAATTGCTTGTGTTGCTCCGGGGCACAGGGGCAGAGCGGTAATGAGAGGGCTGTCTGTCTGAGTCACACCTGTTTTCACCCGGGGAAACTATGCACCGTACACTTTCTCTCACGCCTTCAAAACTGACTTAGCTTTTTAGCCAAAACCTGGATTTTTCATGTACACCTTCCATTGTAACTATAGCCTCTCATTGTCTGGCCTTTCCTTGCCCCCACCTGCAACCAAAATAATAGTCAAATATCCACGCAATTTTCAGTCTAAGGGTCAAACGTGTGAAATGTTTTTGTGCCCTTCCCTGCTGTCAAAATGTGTTAACAAGGGCTGCAGCTGTAGCTTTAAAATTATGTCATGCTTGTTTGGTCCCATGCAGTGTTACATGTAGAATACTTCATTTTATTGTAATTTATTTTTGTGTCTGGAATAAATATTAAGATCATTCATTGTCAAGTAGAAATTAGAAAACCACACACAAGTTTAATAAATGGGAGGTTTTTACTTCCTTCCACTCCTATTTGGACCATTACATTGTCAAAATAGCTGTAAAATTGTATGTATTGGCCTATATTTAAGAGATTTAATAATCTTTTTTCCGGGGGAGTCCTGGCCCCAGGTAGAGGGGGCAGGGGTGGAGTCGGGGAGGGTGTTACGGGGCGGTTTGTACATGTTTTTCAGTGGTAGGAAGAAGGTAGGGAGAAACCGGAGCAACCAGAGGAAACTTATGCAGGCACAGGGAGAACATGCAAACTCACAGAACGGCCATGTCAGGAGGTGGAATAAAACCCTGGACCCTCTAGCAATGAAACACATGTGCTCAAAACTGCGCCACTGTAATTTGAGGATAACTTTTTTGTTTTTTTTTTTCCTAATTTTTGAAAATCTAATTCCTAAAGTTCAAATAAATAGACCCTTTAAATAATACTTTTTTTTTTTTTTTTTTACAGCCGCCTTAATCCACTGGTCAAGTTTTTTACCACTGGATCTCCTGGTGAGTGTGGTTATTTTGACCTTGCTCTTGCAGACCTTCCAGTCCCATCACCTTCCAGCAGACTGGTCAGTTTGTGGCACCAAATCCCTCTCTCTACAATAGGACACAATGAGGCCTATTTGCGCCCTAAGCCCCGCGGACTTACCCCTCGGACCGGGACCACCTCACTTCCTGCCAAACATGTCGGAGTTGGTTGGTCTTTGCCACTTTGAGGGTTTAGGCGCTGGTATTGTAGAAGATCTGTGCTGTCACAACGCTTGCTCACTGCTGCTGCTGATGGGGACGTAGCAAGCTAACCATTTGGGTGCGTTTTCTTCGGTTTGTTTAGACTGGAAAGCCAATAATACGAGGAGAGCAGAAAAAAATTGGTGCATAATTTGGCAAGCACCACGAAAGACTTAACATGTGTGTGGCACAGCGAGGGATTTGAATACAGACCTGCAGGAATTTGGTATTAGGGCTGCACCATTGCACAGTGGCAGAGTGGTTAGCACTCTAGCTTCTCAGCAAGAACATCCTGGGTTTGAATCCCGGTCGGAACAAGATCTTTCTGAGACGATTTTGCATGTTCTCCCCATGTCTGTGTAGGTTTCCTCTAGGTGCTCCGGTTCCCTCTACCACTAAAACCATGCACAATAGGTAAAATTGCTCTGATAGTCCTGACCAAGTCGAGCATCAACATCTGGAGGTGGGTTCCTGGGTGCTGCACCAAACACTGCTCCTGAAAGAGGATCTAGTGGCATCGCAGGATGGGTCAATTGCAGAGGACAAAGTTCCTCACGGGGAAAAATAAAGTGTTCATCACATTAATCACTCTCGCAAACACAATTCTAGTGGAATCAAAGAAGGCCATCATTTACGTCACTTGCTAATAAAATCTTTATACCATGACAATAAATCTAATTTGATTCAAAATGAATCTTGATTTTTTTTTTTTGACTGACATTTTTTGACCAGCGTTATTTTGTGCACGGTTCAAATGTGTACATTCTATTAAATGTTCTTTATTTACAAAACATTCATAAAAGTCCATACACTTGACTAGTGTCAGGAAGCTGCTTTAGCTAATAGCCAGAAGCTAATGTTAATTTCCTGGTATCTCCTTCCTTTACTACACATTTTTATTACTTTTTTACTTTTAAATTGCAATACCTGTTCTTCCTATTCTTTACATTTTAAAATGACTAGAAACTTTCGAGATGACAACACAACAAAAGAACAGGTTTCAAGTAATTAGCAATGCTTCTAAGTGTTGGTCTGTCTGTCTCTCTCTCTCTTTCTGTCTCTCTCTCTCTGTCTCTCTCTCTGTTGCCTCTACAGCCTTGTCACCCAGGTGCTTTCCCCAAAACTCTCACTGTCCCACGGATATGATGTCATAACTCCGGGACTGTTTTATCAGCTGCTTCAGAAAACAACATTAAACGTTTATTAGTCAAACAAGCGTTTTGTTATGTCTGGATGTAGTGCAGAGGCCTTACACAAGAGGGAGGAGAGCTAAAAACACAATGATTCATTACTGTGGAGGAAAAG